GTTTATCAATAAAACTTTGAAAAGAAAAAAAAACAAAAAAACAAAACAAAAATTAAAAAAAAAATTAAATTAAATTTAAAGTGAAATACTGAATTCTTGTGCCAAATTCTCAATTCACAAGGGATTACCTCCATTTTAATTTGTTCAGAATGTCTTCAATTTTAGCATATTTGACATCATTACCACTCTGTTGACAATTTTATTTATTTATTTGAAACTCAATTTTATTTGTTTGTTTATTTATATTTTGAGCATAGAAAGCTTCCTTGGGAGCCAAACATTTACCTCGATAATGGGCGAGCCTTTCCTTCCCTTGAGAAAGACTGCAGAGTGGAAACACAACACTTAAATATCAATGCACTTGAAAATATCAATTTCCACAATATCTCCAACACTAACCTTCAAATGTGCTGCAGAAACCTACTGCAAAGACATAAATAAATCACTTGTATTACTTAGCAAAAGAAGAAAATAAGTGAATGGCATGAGTTGATTATTTTGAGCCATTGTGTTATGAGCTTAAAATTCCAACATGGCTTAAAATTAGCACGTGACAACCTGAGGTGTGCAGCACACCGGCTGCATCCATGAGAAAGCACAAAATCTTGCTATGTGTCACTTTCCTGCCTCCCTAGCTAAGCTGGCGGTATCTTGTGTTTTTTCCCCTCTCCCTCCTATGGGTGCAAAAACAGGTCTCGATTCTCCAACTGGCATTGACTTTTCTGATATCACTGCCAACTCTTTCACTGTCCATTGGATTGCTCCCCGAGCCACTCCCACTGGCTACAAAATTCGCCATCATCCTGAGCATGTTAGCGGAAGACCCCGAGAAGATCGAGTGCCTCCCTCTCGGAATTCTATCACCCTCACCAACCTCCGTCCAGGCACCGAGTATGTGGTCAGCATTGTTGCTGTTAATGGCAGAGAGGAAAGCCCTGCTTTGATTGGCCAGCAATCCACAAGTAAGTTGTCTTCTGATCTCCGAAGAAATTGGGAAGGCTTTCCTCCATAGCTGGTGTAGTCTGCGAAGTAAAATTATGTTGTGCGAGTCCGTCATTTCTCAAAGAACAGACCACGATTGGTTAGCAGGGATGGAGAGGGAAAAGAAGTAACAGATGGAGAAAAATCTCCCTCTTAGAATAAAAGAATATAGTTCTTTATCCCAAGATATTTCTTACCTAATTTGAATAACTGGTTATTTCTCATAACTAACCTTTTATTCAAAATATAGAAAATGTAACACTGGTTCAAAGTGCCCTTTAAAACATAACTTTAAGGGTTGCCCAAATAGCTCAGCAGATTAAAGCGCCTGAAAGCAGGCGCAGGGGCCAAGGGTTCGATCCGCAGGGCTGCCATGCTGGCCCCGCCCTCTGGGGCACGCTGAGACAGCGATTGAGACTGGGTGTGGTGGCATGAGCCTATAATCTCAGCACTTGGGAGGCTATATGCAGGCAGATCACTAGGAGTCTGATCTAGAACTGAAACCCTGAACACCCAGTAAACGCTTCCCTAAAAAGTACAAATAATAATAACAGTAAAATAAAAAATAATTTTAGTGTGTTAAGTGTTACTATTCACCAGGGGATCATTGCTGAAGAACCTAGAAGAAGTACTACAGGAGAAGTGTCCTCATGGTATCTATTACCGCAGCCTCAAATGGGAGAGTAAAAAGTTGAGGCAAAAGAAAAAATAATTGTCGGTAAAGTTGAAATAATCATTCTATCAGAATTTGAATGGTTTCTTCAACTACGGTAAAACCTCGGTTCACAAACTTAACTCGCCATGATTCTGGTAACAAAATTGGATTGCAAACAGAATCGTGGAATGAATTCTGGGACTTGAATAGTGGAACGAGTTAAATTCATGAACCAAGGGCCCACTGTGCCTTGAATTGCTCATAATTTTTATTTCTAATAAGCTTACATTTTATATCTGAGTATTGTTTGATAGTTATTGGTGTGAGAAATATTCCATGTTTCTCCAGTTTCTGACATTCCAAGGGACCTGGAAGTCGTTGCCTCCACGCCCACCAGTGTCATGATCAAATGGGACGCCCCTGGTGTCACAGTGCGGTACTACAGGATCACCTACGGAGAAACAGGTAGGTGCCTGGCTGTTTTATTCTCTGACTATATCGGAGTCCCTTATGGGCAACTCGAAAGCGCCATAGGGAGTATAAATATAGAAACCCTGGGAAGTCCCTTTAGTTGCCTTTTTTCAGGAACACATGGAAACTATGCATAATATAATTGATTGTAAAATTAAGATTAGAAAATCGTTTTTGCACTACAATGATGGGGAAAGGACAGAGCTAAGGGAAAAAGGACTGTAAATTCACAATGCCATTGGTGAAATGTGATTTTATTTCTTCTCACTTTTTTATATCCTTATGTGTAACATGAATATATTCTACTAAGACTTTAAAAAGGCTGTAATCCACGCAAACCTAGGCTTAGCGATGGATTTTCTGCTTCCTCCGTTTGATGTCCCTCTGTGACTCAGTCCCATTTTAAAGCTGAAAGTTAAAACAGCATTAAGTACAATTTTCTCCCAGTCTTTATACACTTATCAAGGTTTACTACATGCATAAATATACCTTCCTGTTCAGAGTCTATTAATAGCATTCCTTAAAAAGGAATAAGCAATAAGATGTGATTTACATCCTGCCTTTGATATGCTAATTCATCGGTAATCCACCAAGTAATGCCAAGGCCCTCGTGCTCTGAAATGCCTTTCTCGTAGGAGGAACCAGCCCTGTCCAGGAGTTCACTGTGTCAGGAGGCATGAACACAGCCACTATCAGCAACCTGAAGCCTGGAGCAGATTATACCATCACTCTGTACGCTGTCACTGGCCGTGGGGACAGCCCTGCCAGCAGCAAACCCGTTTCCATAGATTACCGAACAGGTATAACTATCTCCTCTAGAACGATAACAAGTTTACTTATCTAGACAGCTTTTGCAAAGTTCTTTCTCCCAGTATAGTTTTCTTCCTTGTGAAATTGATTTTTTTTCCTTTTTTATTTTTTTCCTTTTGGTGGTGCTGATGTTTGAACCTGGGGTCTCACACCTGCTGGATAAGTGAGACATGTGCTCTATTCTCTGGCCCTGAGCTATGTACCCAGCCTTGATTTTTCTGTTTTTTTGTTTTGTTTTGTTTTGTTTTTCGTAGGGGGAGTACTGAGATTTGAGCTCATGGATCTGAGTTACAGCCCACCAATCTCAGTCCTTCCTTTATTCATTTACTTATTTATTTATTTATGTTTTAGAGAAGGGTCTACGGTCTCACTACTGGGTCAGACTTGTAGTGATCCACCTGTTTACAGCCTCCCCAGCTCTGGGATTACAGGTCTGCACCACCACGCCCAGTCTCAAATGCCATCTCAGCCTGCCCTGGGGCAGGGCCAGCAGGCAGGCCTGGGGATCAAATCTCTGGCCCCTGCACCTGCTTGCGGGTGCTTTAATCCATTTAGCTATTTGGCTGGCCTTCCCAGTCCTTCCTGTTTTGCATTAGGGTCTCACTGTGTTGTCCAGACTGGCCTCAAAATTGTGCTTTTCCTGCTTTAGCCTCAGGAGTAGCTGAGATTCTAGGCATGTGCCACCAGGTCTGGCTCTGACTTTCCTTTTTAATAAGGCAACAGCCTGCAACTAACAAGCTTTGAGCCAAATATGCAAAGACATGCTACAAGAGAAAAAATTTTGTCTATATAGTTAATTGATATATCTCGTATACCTACCATAGAAATAGGCAGAGGGGGGTGTGCAATAAATATTTGCTTAAAAAACTAATGAAAGAGTTGGTAGGTAAGGAGACGAGCATCTACTTAGATTGTAGCTTCTTTGTGAATGAAGCACTCATACTGAATTAGTGCTAACAACATAGGGATGTGTGTTCCTCTCCCCAATCTATCTTTATTCTTGCACCTCCCCACCCCCAAACCGTACCCTCAAAACCTGGGAGAGATTAAGTGAAAGAGCATCTGGGTGCACCAGAACTGGAGACAAGGACTAGTGCGGTCTCATCCCCAAGGACTGAGACTTCACTGGCTTCTTGCTTTTATTTGTAGAAATCGACAAGCCATCCCAGATGCAAGTGACCGATGTTCAGGATAACAGTATTAGCATCAGGTGGCTGCCTTCCAAGTCTCCTGTGACTGGTTACAGAGTGACCACGACTCCCAAAAGTGGCTCAGGACCATCAAAAACTAAAACTGCAGGTCCAGGTAAGAAAAACCAATATGACACATTCAGCAGGATAGGTGACAATACTTTTTTTCCCTTTCTTTTCAATAAATGGCTACCTTAATGCACATGTCATATTAGGTCAGTATTTTTCCACTCATGAGTTCAGGGCTCAAGATTGCTATAAGCTCATTCCTCAGTGGCAGTTTTAGGATTCATGCATTTGCATATATTGTTCTGTTTAGCAGTGTGGACATCTTGAATTATTAGTTTCATCTCTATGGTTTAGAATGTACACCAAGAGGGAGGGGATAGGCTAATCTTGTAGCGCAATTTTTTTTTAATAAAAGTATTTGTGAAATTAGAATGTTATGGCAATCTCTTAGAATCAAGTTACATTTCTTTCCTTTTTTTCCCCAAGAACGATGTCATTAATTGTTGGGGAAATCCTGTTAAGTTCTAGATATTCTTAGATTATTTTTGAGTGTGACTTTAATTGAACTCAGCACATTTGTATTAGCAATAAACAGGTTTGTCTAAGAGAAAGTTGATGTGTGGATCCTCTATGTTCCCATGATATCCTGGAAATGAATATTTTATGTTACCACGTGCCAGCTATAAATTTCTGCAAGTCACTTGCTTGGATTTGTCCTGATGCCACAGTTGCATTTCACTCCCCTTGCAGACCAAACAGAAATGACCATCGAAGGCTTGCAGCCCACCGTGGAATACGTGGTTAGTGTCTACGCTCAGAATCAGAATGGAGAGAGCCAGCCCCTGGTGCAGACTGCAGTAACCAGTACGTAACCAACACTCGGTTTCCATTTTCAAAGTGTAATTTTTTTTCTTAGGTGTCTGAATGTACTCAGCCTACCTTTTGCCATTTTACATAGGATAGCCGACTCATAGTTTGTTTTATATCTTGAGCTGAGCCCTGGACAAGCATTTTTCCTTCCTAGTGCCAAGTTATAAGTTTAAAGGGAAAGAAGTTGTGAAACTGCTGTAGTTATGTGCTTTGAAATTCTTTTGCTTAAATGGCCTCAGCAAAATCTTATTTGCCTATAGCAAATCTACAAAGTATTTTGCTTAGGACTGGCTTTTCTATGACTGGATGATAAAGTTGACTGAAGTGAGATAGAAACTTTGGAGGAGTGCGGCTGGACCGATGTCTAATATGAATACTTAACAGGGAGGGAAAAAGAAGTGCTTAAGAAAAATTACAGCAATCTGAATGTAATACTGAAAATCATCTTTGCCACTTCCAAGTTATAGAAAATCCAGATCTGAGACTAACCTCACATTGCAAAAGCAAATCTTGGTATAATATCTTTAAATTAATATAAATAAATCCATGGGGACATTTTGCAGGGTATCTACATGTCTCATACCTGGGTTCTAATAAATAATGAGACATTAAATACTTTTTAAACAAAAAGATCTAAGCAAATGTCAAGTTATTTTTCATTTTGATGGTGGGTTAATTGGAGTTTAATTTATCAAAGGAAATGGTATCTGCAAAATCGCTTTGCCTGTAATAAAAATGCTTTTTCCACAACTTGCTTTTCACATAACCTCTTACCATTAATTTGCCTAACAGACATTGATCGCCCTAAAGGACTGGCATTCACTGATGTGGATGTCGATTCCATCAAAATTGCTTGGGAAAGCCCACAGGGGCAAGTTTCCAGGTACAGGGTGACCTACTCAAGCCCTGAGGATGGAATCCATGAGCTATTCCCTGCACCTGATGGTGAAGAAGACACTGCCGAGCTGCAAGGCCTCAGGCCGGGTTCTGAGTACACAGTCAGTGTGGTTGCCTTGCACGATGATATGGAGAGCGAGCCCCTGATTGGAACCCAGTCCACAGGTATATCAGTACTCATGCCCTGGGCGCTCTTGGGAGCGGCGGCTTCATGCCTGACCACCATGATACTTTCCAACCACAACCCTCAAAGTTGTATCTGTTATGAATGACCCTCTTTAAAGAGGAATGGTAGCAAACAGTAAAATTTAGGTGATATTTTCATAAATACGTTTGACAAGAAGAATTTGAAGTACCTTGGCCTATAACCAAAGCCATAAAGTGAGACATTAGAAAATGATACTTAAAATGTGGATTATTTTCTAAACTGTGATTCCCTGTGTTGCCCTTATTAAATACAAAGGAAGGTGTTTGGCATCACAGAGCTTGCTCTAAGAAAGCACTCTAATTAGAATATCTCATAGCAATGTGACCCTTGAGAACACATACATGAGTGATAGCTTTCTTCCCTGGTAAGATGTCGTGTACTGCTATGCAGTTGGCTTAAAGGATTCTGATTCAGGTAGATAAGAAGCAGTTATTAGAATAAATGCTTTCAACAATTCTTTTTTTTTTTTTTTTTGGTCTTTTGAGACAAAGCCTCTTTGGCCTTGAACTCACTATGTAGTCCATGCTGGCCTTGAACCTGGCCTGATTCTCAGGCTTTAGTCTCCAGGGTACTAGGATTACAGGTGTGTACCTCCATGCCTGGTCTCTACAGTTCTTTATCCTCTTTTGCTTTATTTCTGAAGCAGTGTGAAATGTGAAAGATGTGTCCTATTGGCAGCATAAGCCCTGGAGGTGACAATCTGCATTATTGCTCTTTGCTTCTCTTTTCTGCTTCTACTATGAGCCAATTTTCTTCTTATGCTGCACCACAGAAAATACATTAAATTTAGTAGTGATATCTGCCATGGGGCCCAAATAAAGAGACAATAAAAACCTAATTATATCTTTTTTTTGGATGGAATCCTTTGAAATGGTGTTCCATACAGAGATAATTTATAGAGAAAAGGGCTATTGCTCATCTTTTTGTACCAATGGAAAAATCAATTGTAATGACCAAAAAGCCAATTCAACTTTTTTTGTATTTAAGGGGGGAAAAATAGCCTCTTAAAAGCTAAAATCTCCTGGCGTACTCACATTTATTCAAGTGTTTCCAGTGATTGTGAGATTGTGATTGTGAGAAATGGTGGTCATAAAACACATTTTCAACAGACATTTTCTTCATTCTGTATCCCCTCTTGATACTCTCGTGCTAAATCTTTGCTGAACCAGGGAATCCATCTAACCAACAAAAACAATGCATTTTTCTTCTTGGAGTTCACTCTATTTCTCCTTTTCCACATTTCTTGTAAAATAACCTTTAACCAATGACCATCTTCACAGCCATTCCGGCACCAACCAACCTGAGGTTTACTCAGGTTACACCCACAAGTCTGAGCGCACAGTGGACGGCACCCAGTGTCCATCTCACTGGATATCGAGTGAGGGTGACCCCTAAGGAGAAGACTGGACCCATGAAAGAAATTAACCTTTCTCCTGACAGCTCATCGGTGGTCGTGTCAGGACTCATGGTAAGAAATGACCTTCTACCACTGGAATGAAAGTGTAGGTCCTCTCTTACACAGCATATGAGGTAGTGGATAGATAATTTTATCATAAATTGAACTACATTCTTCTCCTCTGCCATCAAAAACTTTTATTATACTTTTATACCACTAGAATTCATTTACGTTGATATAAACTTTTCCAGATGACCATTAGATCAAGATTTTATGGGCCAGGGAAATAGCTCAGAGGCATAAGCACCTGCCTAGCAAGCACAAGGTTTTGAGTTTGATCCTTAGCACACACACAAAAAAAAAAAAAAAAAGGAAAGAAAGAAAGAAGAAATTTTATAATTAACTGTGGATTTTGTGCTGTTCTTTTAGAAATATGTTTTAAAGAGTTGTATATGAAGGGGAAGCATTTTATATACCGATTGACCAAATGCATAAGTTGACTTGAGTTATTCATTTTCTGAGCTGTGTTACCTTGACAAGAAACATTCTCATTTAGACCAGTACAACTTTATCTTATACCCATTAAGATATTTAAAAATCTGAGAGGCAGGGGAGATAGCTCAGTAGAGTAAGTGCTTGGGCCTGAGTTCAATTCCCTGTTCCATCCAAAAAAACATTTAAGAATGTATTTAGGCAGGTGTGCAGAAAACTAGGTGGGCTCCTAGGGCATTGATACACATCTGTACATAAGACTAACTCCAGAAAACAAGTTCCAAGGCAGAATAGAAAATTTTGTTTTTCTCTCTGTGACAATTTATGAAAAATTTATGATTTTTACCTATTGGTTCACAAAGGGGGGGGGGGAAGACAGGCTAATACCCATTTTCCTCAATTTAAAAAAATGAGTTAAGGGCTGGGGAAATAGCTCAGTAGGATAAGTGCTTGCCTGACAAACACAAGGTCCTGAGTTCAATAACTGGTACTGCAAAAAAAAAAAAATGAGTTTAGCATAAATATTTGTTATGGTTTACCTGAGCTTACCCCCAAGAGCATTTTACAATTCCTTTTATTTAATCAGTTGTCAATCATCTGTAGATGAGAATCTAGGAATTTCCGGCATTATGGATTTGCTAGTTTAAGTTTTCTTTTGTAGCTCAATCCCCATTACCACACACACACACACAAAAAAAAGTTTTCTTTTTTTGCGGAACCAGGGATTGAACTCAGACCCTTGAGCTTGCCAGGGAAGCCCTTATTCCACTGAGCCATCTCCTCAGCTCCAAAACTTTTCTTTTGTAACCGTTATGTTTTCCTAATGCTGAAGAGGAACTCCCTGGACTCCATGCAGTGACTCTACTAAGGCTCCTCGTGCCCTTATTTCTAGGTGGCCACCAAATACGAAGTCAGCGTCTATGCTCTTAAAGACACGATGACGAGCAGGCCAGCTCAAGGAGTAGTCACCACGCTCGAGAGTAAGTATTCAGAGGTCCCAGCGGCGACCGACCTTGTATGCAAACAAAAATTAAGAAAGGCTCAGTGATTTCTTAGATGAGTAAGTGAACAGTGGAAAGAGTCCCAGTTGGAAAACTGATGTGATTGCTTATCTTTTGAATGTCCCTTTTTATGACCCTCTGGTAAGTGTTCTGCTGATACATAAAATGTAATAATTTCGTAATGTTCCAATGTTGGTGTTAAAGATGGAGTCTAATCGCAAGTTTATGCTCTGCCTGGTAGAATTTAGTTTCCTTTAATTAAGTTGGGGAGGACACGCTGGCTTTAAAGAGGATAATAAATGTGGGGCCAAATTGGGCCCAGATTTTAGTTTTCTGCTATATTAATATCTGTGTGCTCTTTAGCAGTCACAGAGTGTCAAAGTTTTATCATCTTTGAAGTGAAGATAGAATAAGGATGTCTTCTGTTGAAAGAAAAGACATCAAGCCTATAAAAATGACAAAATACTAGCCATGTTACTGGTTATGGCTAGCCAGCCATGCTGTTGTGATTCCTTCCATACATATTTTTACAATACAGTAAATTAATCATTTTAACACTTATTGAGGTATTTGTAGAATACTAGACACTCAGCTCTGGGAACACCTGGTAGAATTTTTAATGGTTTTTATGATTTTCAAAGAAAAGGCACAAGGGCCGGGGAGATAGCTAAGGAGAAATAAGCGCTTGCCTGGCAAGCACAAGGTCCTGAGTTCAGTCCCTGGTACTGAAAAAAAAAGAAAAGAAAAGGCACAAGACACAAATATTTTCATAGTTCCTAATTACTGTTGATCCTTCTAGCTGAATGCCAAAGAGGAGAGACATCTATGGGTAACTAGTCAGTATGTTTTTTAAAGTGGCTGCATGTGGTGTACAATAAGGAAATGTTTTAAGATAGTGACACTGCACATGTCTGAAGCAAGCAGGCACTAACTTCCAGCTGTGGTCTGATGCAGATGTGAGCCCCCCCAGAAGAGCCCGTGTGACAGATGCCACTGAGACCACCATCACCATCAGCTGGCGCACCAAGACCGAGACGATCACTGGCTTCCAAGTTGATGCCATCCCAGCCACTGGCCAGACCCCAGTGCAGAGGACCATCAGCCCAGATGTCAGAAGCTACACCATCACAGGTCAGGGAGTGCCCCACTGACCACGGGCACTAACCAGCATTCGCAGTACAGATGGGTTCTTTAGTTATTCTCTAGATTGGTGCACACCTGTAATCCCAGCTCTTGGGATGCTGTAAACAGGCGCATCACTACAAGTCCAGTCTAGTAGTGAGACCCTGAACACCCTGTAGATCCTTCCCTAAAATACAAAAAAAAAAAAAAAAAAAAAAACTAAAAAAAAAAAAAAAAAAAAAAGATTTTTCTCACTTACATTGCTGAAATTGATTTTCAATATTTTATGGCAACTCAGTTTATAAGGATTATTGTCACTCTGATCAGAAATAATTTTGTTTTTTGCATCCTTGATTTGGTCTAATGTTTGTCAGAGACATGCCCAAATTTCATTCATCAAGTTTAATCTTTGATCACTGTGTACTTTTTCATTAAAAAAAAGTGTAAAATAATGTTTAAAACCAAAAGAAGCAAAACTGTCGTTCTTAGCATTAAACATGGTCACATTTTTATAATAATTAAATTTGTAAAAACAACATGACCTGATGAAGGTCTAAATTGTACTTGGAGAACAGTCAAAATCTGGATCAAGTTAGGGTTTTTTGAGCTTTTAAATCCTGATTTCAGGTGTCACATAATGGTAATCCTGTTACCCTACACATACATAATAAGTGATCTTCCCTTTAAAAAAAATACTGTTTTTGCACTATTTTAATTATTTGCCTGCACCAGTAATTTGCTCTGCCATACACTCTCACTATCAGCACATTGTGTGTGACTTTATTGCTCAAGTGTGAATCACCTTTGTGGTCTACGTAAATATGGGGTGAGAGAGAGGCAAAGAAAATTGTAGGTGAGCTTGAAAATTCTTCCAGGGAAGTAAGAACAGGTAAAAGCTATCTCTTCACACCCCAGGTCTGCAACCAGGCACTGACTACAAGATCTACCTGTACACCCTGAACAACAATGCCCGGAGTTCTCCTGTGGTCATCGATGCCTCCACTGGTAACTATATTTTCCACTGAGAAAATGTCCCTGTCATTGGGCATATGAATGTAAGAAACGAATGAGAAGCTGCTGTTTTCCTATTACAGCTCCCAGTGACTTTGTGCAATTCTTGGATTCTGTTGTGTGTTTGGAAGGGCCAAGGGAAAGCGTGGAAGTGCTTTTCTGGTTAATCATTTTCTGAGACTTAATTTTGGTTTCTTCTAGCCATTGATGCGCCATCCAACCTGCGTTTCCTAACTACCACACCTAACTCTTTGCTGGTATCATGGCAGCCACCTCGGGCCAGGATTACTGGCTACATCATCAAGTATGAGAAGCCTGGGTCCCCTCCCAGAGAAGTGGTCCCTCGGCCACGCCCTGGCGTCACAGAGGCCACTATTACTGGTAATCTGTTTTCACGATGTGATTTTTTTCCCCTCTTCCTTATTCCCCTGAACTCTCAAAGTCTTTATGCGTCTCCAGCTGCATATCTGATTCTCTTTCATGAGATCGAAAGGCACTGTACTTCAGAAGGCACTGTTGTTGTAGGGGCAGCAGAGCTCAGTCCGTCTGAAAAGGCATGAGTTCATGAAAATGTAATTTCCATACTATCTTAGTAGTGTCACTAGAGATTTTGTGTCGTTCTGTTTCTTCCTGGAAATTTGCCTGTCAGTTTAGTGCTAGGAAATAAGACCCCAGGACTTGGCAGAGTACTGCCTGCTCTCACCCTAATATCCACTTGCACAAATCAGGTTTGCAGGCAGAGCCGTCCTGGCCACCGTACCAGAGAGCATGCTACCGTGGAGAATAAAAGTTGTCCGTCCTGATGGAAGGATCGTAGGACTTTGATACTGTCTTTGGTCAAGAAATAAAATAAACTCTAATGTAATCTAGGTTACTATGGGGATGAGGAAATCCCTGTGGAACATATAGATGATATAAACAAAAAGAGACACTGCTTCTTTTGGGGGGAATGGAGGAGCTGGGGACCAACTCAGGACTTCTTACATGCTGTGCAAATGCTCTCCCTCTAAGCTATTCTTAGCCAAGGATGTTGATTTTTAAAAGTTTTAGGTATAGGAAAAGAAAATCAGACATGGAAAGAGTTGAGCAGGATAATTCCTTTGGGCACCGGATGATGACTGGTCATTGTCTCCTGCACAACACTTACCTCCAGCCCGACTTTTTATTGATCTAGACATTAGGCCTGAGCAAATTCATGAGTGCTATCTGTAGTGATCTCCCTCACATTCGCATTCCACTGGTGGTACATAAAACTGATAGCTTTTCTTCAATTTAGAAAGGCAAATAAAACCCCAGGTTAATGACTGTTGCAGAACAGCCAGCCTAAAAGTGCTTATTCGGGTATCTGGTATGATATGGGGAAGTGGCTTTTATATGTGGAGTGTGGGTAACTACACAAGAAAAGTGAAGTTGATTTCCCTTTCAAGAGGCCACCAGCCAGCCAGAGAAGGATGCTTGGTCCCGGTCAGTGAGCCACACTCACCAACATAATTTGATGCCTCTGTTCTTCCATCAGGCCTGGAACCAGGAACTGAGTACACAATCTATGTCATTGCCCTGAAGAACAACCAGAAGAGTGAGCCTCTAACTGGAAGGAAAACAACAGGTAAAGAGCACTTTCTGGGTGGTGACGAGGAACTTAAGATGAAACTCTTAACAAGTGCTAATTTTGTCTTGTGAAAAGGTTCTCCATGTTTTAATGCATTTCTTGTGTGGGTTGTTTTGTTTTGTTTTGTTTTGTTTTGTTTTGTTTTGTTTTGATAGCATACCTTATAAATTGTACTGACAGCAGGAATCATGCTCTATAGATTTCTGTTTTACTTATTTCTTTATTCCATAGCCAGTCTTTGGAAGCCTTGTTGTTCACCTTTCAAGAATTTAAATCAGATATTAAATGTAAAGCTAAGTTCCTATCATTGCTTTTCTTCTCTATCTTCCATTGAATTTTAAGTAGTTTTATTTTAAGGAGAGAAATCCTTCCCCTTACTTGTCTTGATATATTATTTAATTTCTGAAACATAGAACTAAGTGTTTGCCACCCAGTTTTACTTCAGTTTAAGAAAATACTATATTTATAGTGCTAGGAATACTTTGAAAATAACTGTATTTTAATCTATTTTTACCATTTCAAAATGCAAAAATTCTTGAGCCAAGCCTTCGTATTTCAGACACTGATCTGATTATTCTGGATTCTAGTCCTTCCCACTTGCTTCTCAAATGGAGAGGGGAGGGTGGGAGCCGGCACATTTCAGTTCTACAAGGTTAAACTTGAGCAGAGGCGGCTTCTGTGGCGCTCCGCAGTTCTAGGCTTCTGTATATGATAAATCCATGCTAATGCTTTTTTCTTTCTAAACCATAAAGGAATCTTTGGGGGGAAAAATCATGAAAGATTTCTTTCTGGAAAAAATGCTTTGATCTGAGAGCAAGTAATTTTTCAGGGACTTTGATAAATAGGCATTGTTGCTTGAGTTGATGATGATTGTGGCTGCTACTTGCTGAGGCTTACCGCGCTTTGCTTTTTGGCTGTAACCTCTCTTGGCCAGATGAACTTCCCCAGCTGGTCACCCTTCCACACCCCAATCATCATGGACCAGAGATCTTGGATGTTCCCTCCACAGTTCACCAGACCCCTTTCATCACCAACCCTGGGTATGACCCTGGCAACGGGATCCAGCTTCCTGGCACATCCCCGCAGCAGCCCAGTGTTGGGCAACAGATGATCTTTGAGGAACATGGTTTTAGGAGGACCACACCACCCACAGCAGCCACCCCCGTCAGGCATAGGCCAAGACCGTACTCGCCGAATGTAGATGAGGAGATCCAAATTGGTCACGTCCCCAGTGGAGACGTAGACCACCACCTCTATCCTCATGTTCTGGGGCTCAATCCAAATGCCTCTACAGGACAAGAAGCTCTCTCTCAGACAACCATCTCTTGGACCCCATTCCAGGAAAGTTCTGAGTACATCATTTCATGTCATCCCATTGGCATTGATGAAGATCTCTTACAGGTAATTAGGGTTTTTTCTTACTTGTACAGTACAGAAAAGGAGTAAACCAAGTAACTGAAGTGGTCAGCCTTCTGATAGAAAATGGCTAATCAGAGACCCTTACAGAGATAGGGCATTAAAGATCTGATTCTGCTTCTAAACCTCCATCTGACTGTACTGTGGAGGATGTACTATTGAATATCATTAGCTTTTGTTCTGTAGACACAACAAGATCATGATTATTATTTTCACACATTGCAGACTCTTACTGAGATAGATAGATGACTCTAGACAAGAAAAATATTCTACCTAAATTTAAAGTTACATGAAATCTAAAATAGCATCTTTACAGTTTGTCCTCGAAGAATCCCATTATCTATAATATGTCTAAGAATTTAAGGAAATCTGTGTATATTAGCTCTTCCAAGTGATTTATTCTCTAACTAAAACTGCATTCTTTAATTTGTCCAGTGGTACTAGTATCAGTTTGCACTATGTCCTATTTTTGCAAAGTGGCAGAGCTTATAAAACTGACTATACTGGGGAGATTCATGAGCTTAGAACCCTGATCCGGAGGAGATACCAACATTGTAAGGAGTCCGTGTCTGGGCCTGATGCACCTTGCAGGGCTTGCCTGGATCATTCCTGCAGTACAGTGTCCCTGTTTAATGTGGAAGGGACACTGCCGAGGTTTCCAGTGTGCTTGTGGAGACCCACAACCACAACAGGAGTAAGGAAAGTCCAGGATTGTTGAATACTCCTGGTAACTGCAGAGCACATGCCAGATGTTTGTTAAGAAAACCTGGCAGAAATGATGCTTCTAGGAGCTCCATCTCTCTGGCCAGTTGGGACTCCCCCATCTACTACCATCTGCGTTCCTTTTGTTTAAACAGTCAGGGGCATTTCTCATGAGAATAGAGGAGGCCACATCTCTTCCTCTCTCGCTAATGCTTTTCCCCACTTTGCACATACAATAATTGCAGTTCCGAGTTCCTGGAACTTCCACCAGTGCCACTCTGACAGGCCTTACCAGGGGGGCCACATACAACATCATAGTGGAGGCACTGAAAGACCAGAGAAGGCACAAGGTTCGGGAAGAGGTGGTGACCGTGGGCAACTCTGGTATGTACGCTCATGCGCCAATTGGGCTTGTGCTCCCCGCTGGGCTCCCTCACCTATTCCTTTGTTGTTGTTGTCTTTCAACTTTGAAGAATAAGGCTATACATCAGCCTGAGTAAATGAACAACTTAATATGCAGTGCTTTTCTCTGATTGCATCTTAATGTCTTTGTCATCCCCCAACCCACCCACACACAGTCACACATCAATGACAGGCTGTCAAATAGGAATAAGATGTCAGGCTTGGAAGGAACTTCAGCATAGCTCGGTTCACCACTCTGGACCTTGCTGTAGTGTGTGCTTACATGGGTTGGCAGAAGAGAGCAATTTCCATGTCATCTCCCACACTTCTTCATCTCCCTGTTCTCTGGTGGTCTTGAGTCATACTGAGCTAGTCATTGTAAAGCAAACTCCTTCTGTGCAGACATTAGCGACACCTGGTTTTTGTTCCTGATACAATATACTAGCAACATGGCCTGTGTGTAGCAAAGCAACTCTCTTATTTTATTTTATATTTTTCTTTGTGGTACCAGAGATCAAACTCGGGACCTTGCGCTTGTAAGACAGGTGTTTATGCCACTCAGTTATCTCCATGGGCCAGAACTCTCTTATTTTAAAAAGTTGGGGGATTTTTGTTTTTTTTTTTTTTTTTTTTTTGATTTTATAGGTTGAAACCTTAATAGAAGTTAACAATGTTTGGACAGAATATCCTGTCTGCTTCTTGTACTATGGATAACCACTAAGAAGATAACAATGTACAGTGTATTGACTATCAAAACTATCCTATTAATCAGCTGTGAAACTGTCTCATTCATATTTATTTATCAATTAAAAAAATTAAAAAAAAAGTTAAGTGATATGGAATCTTCTTTGTAGCACATGGAAAGCTCTTTTGGGCAGAGGTGTGACACCTGGCTTTTTAATGTGCAGTACATGAAAGTTCACCCAGCAACCTGAGAAAGCAGGAAATCAAAACTCTGAGTCCCAATTCTTCTAACTTGAGGGCTCTGTACTCTTTATCAGCAGCAAGTCATAAATTCTGTCTCTCCAAAGTGACAGGATTTTTTTTTCTAGAACCAGTTACTTAATTTTAGTTTCCTTCTTCATCTGATAGAAAATTGCTATTTTCTGTGAGTAGATTCCTATGAATTAAGCAGTTGAGTATTTGGCAAGCCAGAGGCAGGATTATTTTGTGTTTGTTGTATTACATATTCACAGTAATACTCTATTGTATTTTGCCTTTCATGGCTTTACTAGTGAAATGCCATGTGAAAAGAATTTTTGAGAGCATAAAGGTTTTTGTACATTTCTACATCAGCTTTTTTTTTTAAGACATCATCTCCATAAGTTTTATTATGGTGGAATTTTAACTCCTAGCTATTTTTAGAATGGCAGCTCCCCATTTAATAGTTTAAGCTCTTTTCATTTTCTTTGCAGCTCCTCATTCCCAGTAGTAATAGTCTTCATTCTGGCCACGTTCTCCTAGCTTTGGAACATTTCAGACTTTTTAGTTTCTAAAGTACTGTTTTCTTCCAGAGTCATGCCTTTTTTGAAATATTAGGCATTTAAAGTACCTATGGCAGTTGATCTTTAAACTTCACCCTGTAAGAAGCATATACTGTGGAATTTAAAGTCAATTATTTATCTTACTTAAATTTTGGAGAGTACCTTGAGACATACTTTATTTTTACAGATTATTTTAAAATAAAGTTTTGGGTTTTTTTTCCCCCAAAACATAAAGAAGTAAGATCATAGGTAGCATGCTAAGCTGCAATTTCTACAGTTCATTAAGTCATCTATATCCTGTCACTTATTTGGAACAGCTGATTTTATTGATAAAATGAAGTAGTCATCTGTAAACAGGACAATCGCTATGAGTCCGATATAGTAGTGAGACCCTGAATACCATATAGCCCCTTCCCTAAAAAATACAAAAATGAATAAATAAATAAAATGAAGTTGTCTTACTAGTATAACAGCAATGTGCAAATTGTAGGGTTTCTAGATGATTATGCAAATAAATGCAATAATAAAAGTGACCATAGCATAATGGTATATAAAATGCTAACACTTCGACATTGTCAGCAAAGGACAGCATCCAATAATAACTCTTTGTTTAGTGAGTGCTTCTATATCTGACAAAGAGCAAGCACTGAGTCCAAGGCTTCTTGTAGTCTTTGCAGCAGCTCTTGGAGATAGAGCTATGGACAGAGATGGGGAAATGCTAAGCAACAAGTTCAAGGTCACTCTGATACTGATGGGGAGATACCTGCCACCTACCTTCTTAACTGCCATAAACTGCCCCAAGACCTATAACATCATCTCTAAAGTAGATTTCCCAGAATTGATCAGAGACAAAAAATGAAAGATGGGCTCTTTTCAAGTGTGAATGTCTCTAAGCATTGTTTTTGAGAATGACTGATGCACTGACAATGGATCAATGCAATTTGGCCCTACTGGAATTTTGGGGTTAGATTAAGGCATTATATAAAACACTTCTGTTTCCTTCTTATGATCCAAAACCACCAATCCAATGTCTTTTGTTTTTGTTTTTGTTTTTCCTTTTTCCTCATAGTCAATGAAGGTCTGAACCAACCTGCGGATGATTCCTGCTTTGACCCCTACACAGTTTCCCACTATGCCATTGGAGAGGAGTGGGAGCGATTGTCTGAATCTGGCTTTAAACTCACATGCCAGTGCTTAGGCTTTGGCAGTGGTCATTTCCGATGCGATTCATCTAGTGAGTAGCTTGCTTTGTTCATCCACCTCTTCCTCCTCCTCTTCCAGCTCCATGCACTTGCATTAATGGACCAATGGGGCATGTTTGGTTGACACAGGAACTTCCAAATATGCAGCAAACAAGATACTACTGTTTGGCTCAAAGTAATATTTTGCATCATAGAAAAATGATGGGAAATTTTACTTGTTGAATATTGCTTCATTTCAAGGGCCGTGTGCAACTACAACTATAATTAAAAACAAGTTTGCAGTGATTATGATTTTTTAAATTTTCTTTTATACAGTGTCTAATCAATGAAGTCAAGCTCACTGGAAACAGGCTTAATTAAGAGTGTCAAAAACAAAAAAAAATCTCAGGTCATTTAATCTTCAGTGTTGAGTGAGGTCAGAGGTGAACATTTTCACTTACAAACATTCTTTCAACAAAAATCAAACCTACATCGCATAGTACATAGTTCTACGTGGTATGCACATACAAATCACACACATATCATAAATATATATATCACACAGATGCATACACATATACAAGCTACAGAGCTTGTACATTTCTAGTAATGTAAAGGAAAGTACACAGGTAATCCACTTATTAATAATTAACAATCAACTTCAGGGCTGGGGAGATAGATAGCTCAGTGTAGTAAGTGCTTGCCTGGCAAGCTCAGGGTCCTGAGTTCAATCCCCAGTACCAAAAAAAAAAAAAAAAAAAACCTTCAATTTAAAAATATTTGATTTTGAAATTGTAAAGGCATTTTAATTTTTCAAATATTTCTAACTTAGGGGCCGGGGAGATGGCTCAATGGAATATGCATTTCCCTGGCAAGCACAAGGGCCTGAGTTCAATCCCCGGTTCTACCAAAAAAAAAAAAAAATTCTAACTAAAATGATTCTAGGAAGTATATATTATGTTATGAAATTTAGTATCAGAATTTGTAATCTTTCATTTATTCTGTTTTTGGGAGATGCAATCATTGACAACTGGCTCATTTTTATAGATATTAACTACTGTGCCTTATAAACAAGCCTCTATGACATTTATAGAAATCATATTCTTTGAGTTTTTATTATTATTATCATTTAAATTTTTATGTATTTGGTACAGGGTCTCACTACCCAGCTTGGACTTGTAGTGATCCTCCTATTTTTGGCCTACCCAGCACTGGGGTTACAGGTGTGTGCCACCATGCAGGACTCTGGCCAGCTCAGTTTGCCCAGGGGCAGGACCGGCATGGTATGCAATATCTGGGATCAAACCATGGTCCCTGCGCTTGCATAAGCAGGTGTTTAGTCTGCTGAGCTTCTCATCAGCCCAGCAATCATATTCTTTGGAAGTAAAATATAACACAGAGTTTTAAATTTTTTCTCAAAGTATTTTACTTGTAAAACCCAATTGATGTTTTCCAATGTAGCCTTCTGTCCTCAGCCATCTGTGGATAGAAAAGCAGAGCCCAACAGAGGTCATATACAATGTTGTATTAGGAAACAGGCCTACTTTCAAGTTTGGATATTTTTGTTTTTGTGTGTGTGTGTGTGTGTGTGTGTGTGTGTGTGTGTGTGAGTACTTAGGTAACCAGAAGAATCAGAACAGTAAGTTCATTTATGTGAGTATTTGGCTTGGTGTATAGATTGTTTGCTTAGATGTCATCATTGTCTAACACCTTTTCTTACAGTGTAAGGAGGGCTGAATTATTGATAAAATGGAAGAAGAAATGCTTTGTTAGATAAATTTCTAAAAAGTATTCTGTTTAGCATAAATCTTGGCAATCAAAAAGATTTATATACAATAAAGGCATACTACTTGGAACTTTCAGATGTTTTTCAGCCAGTCTTCTGTTTATAGTAATATTAACATTTGATTTATCATTTTGTTTTGTTACCTGGGTTTATTCATTTTTCATTTATGTGAAACAAGTGGTAAAGCCGGATGATCTGTTTGAGAGTTTACCAAACTATTTTGTACCTAGGGTCTCGTCAAATTCAAAAGCAATGTTTTTATTCTTAAAAGATTCCTTCAATCCTGCTTTAGTTTTTGACAACTATGAACCTCAATAAAATAAGCATTCAAATGAAAGCCATTGATTAGTCCTATGACACAATTGTGGCAAAATAAATCTTTTTTAAAACTAGATTTTGTTGATACATTTTAGATATATAGGATGATCACATTCATCATAGTGTGGCAAAATAAGTCTTAAGACTGCTGAGGAGGGGCTGGTGAGATGGCTCAGTGGTCTAAAGCACCTGCTTAGAACAAGCTAAGCTAAACAAAAGCACAGGGACCACGGTTCAATCCCCCAGCACCACATGCCAGCCAGCCCCGCCCCCTGGTGGGCTGAGCTGGCCACACACTAAATAAATAAATTAATTAAAAAAATTGATTAAAAAAAATTAAAATAAAAAAAAGACTGCTGAGGAGATATTAAATAGTAGTTACACTGTGTTTCAATCCAAGCAGTGATCATAGCTGAAGGTCAAGATCTTTGACTTGTGCTCCTTCCAGATAGGGAAATTTTTAACATTCTGACATAGCGCAGTGTCCTGCAAGTGCAGACTCCGACAGCTCTACCTGTGCTTTGCCCTCCCTCCAGAGTGGTGCCATGACAACGGTGTGAACTACAAGATTGGAGAGAAGTGGGATCGCCAGGGAGAAAACGGGCAGATGATGAGCTGCACGTGCCTCGGGAATGGAAAAGGAGAATTCAAGTGTGATCCTCGTACGTCATCGCAGATCATTTTTAGTGGCTTATTAAGTGTTTTATTAACGGTCATTAGGGTGCTGTAGCTCTTGTTCACAGGACTGATTAGAGACTTGAGGCCCCTTTGAGAACTCAGCAGTGGGTTTGTTTATCTTTGAGACAAGCTTCAAAAATGAATCATGACTTAATGTCACTTCAAGAAACCTTGGCACTTTTCTAACCTAAGTATTCTGAGTATTCTCTACAGGGAATTGTTATAAGAAAGCTCTATTGGTCTGTAAGTTCAGCTTCTAAGATGTGATTTCCATCTTTCCACTGAAGCTACGATACCTAATTTTTGAAAATGCCAGACTAAAATCTACCTATCAGGAGCTTGCTTATGATGATTGATGAAACTTTTTGTATCATCATCACCCAAAGCTCACACTTTGCACAAAAGAGGAAGCTACCCTTGTACCAAGTCAAATGTGCATTGTTGATCTCAGTCTCACACGTGCTTCTGACTTCTGTGTCTAGACGAGGCAATGTGTTACGATGACGGGAAGACATACCATGTGGGAGAACAGTGGCAGAAGGAATACCTTGGTGCCATCTGCTCTTGCAGTTGCTTTGGAGGCAAGAGGGTAAGTGTGGACACTACAGACTCCCAGCAGTTTAGATAGGACACAGAGGAGGATCCGGCACGTATGTGCCGTGTGAACAGGCAGAACAGTGCCTCTCACGAAGAGTCCATGAAGTTGCTCCCCTCCCCATGCCTTCTGTACTCAGGTTGTTCCATTTTTCACCACTTGAAGTGTGAAATGCTGCATAGCACTAAGCCTCCTGATGGACAGGTACCCTTGTGGCCCTACGGTCAACTACGTTAAATAATACCTTGGGTCTAAGAAAATGCTACTATTCAGTGCCCTCTCTCAATCCAAACCTGGATCACAGCTCTTTCATAGGGTGAATCATATAGGACAGACAGAGGGAATGAGAAGTGACCCTGGCTCTTAATGACATAATCAAGGGGGCCTGCCGGTTAGCTCAGTTGTTTAAGCGCCTGCTTATGCAAATGCAGTCAGGTGTAGGATACTGGTTCGATCCCCAGCTCCACATGCCTTACCAGACCCGCCCTTAAGGCAGCCTGAACCAGCCAAAAAAAAAAAAATATCCTTCTCAACTTTAGGGCCAGCCAAATAGCTCAGTGGATTAAAGCATTTGCCAACAGGAGCAAGGGACGAGGGTTCAATCCCCCGGTCTGCTGTGCCAGCCCCGCCCCTGGGGCCCAGACTGTAATTAAGACTGGGCATGGTGGCACGCACCTGTAATCCCAACTCTTGGGAGGCTGTAAACAGGCGGATCAATATGAGCCTGATCTAGTAATGAGACCCTGAACACCCTGTGAACCCTTCGCTAAAAATACAAAAAAAAGATATAGTCAAGGACATTAAATTAGTGCACACGGCAAAGTCAAGCTAATTGAGTCAAGAGTTTGAGTGATACTGACAGATATGGTTCCAAATAGTTTGGAATCAGCAAGGAAGGCCTTATGGAAAAGAGAAACATAAGCTGGCTGGGGTCTAGGGTGGCTAAGATTTGATTGAAGAAGGAATAAAGCAGAGAGATGGTGAGCACACTCCTCAGGTTAAGAAGGAGCAGGCCCAGGAGCGCTCCCATGAGCCAGTCTGCCAGTGTCCGTGGTACAAAATCAGTCAGAAGGAAGAGAAGGGTCATGTATGGAAGGCCCTAGAAGTTGGTTACTCAAGCCAGTACTCCTTAGCCATTTCTAGTATGTAACCTTCTTCACTTGAACAAAAAATGCTGTGCCTGATTTGCATCATCATAATTCAGAAAGACCTGGGGCTTATAACTCAAAGAATAGACTGTGACAATTTAGTTTTTCAGTGAAGCTATGCCCTTTCCAGTAGCTCCCAAATTCCAGTACATGATGAATATGCTCCCCGCCCACCATAGAAACGGATCATAGAATTTAGTCCCCTTGGTATAAAAATGTGTGGTGGGGGGGGAGTAGATCTGCTGGGAGGCAGATTTTTGCCACACTTCAGCATCTCCCTGTTATTTATGCACACAAAATTTTCACGTGTGACACCTGCTCAGTTCTAAAAGTGCTAAATGAAACACTTAAGACAGGAGAACTGTTACATTTTTCTATGAAAGGAATACTTATTGATTTGATGAGTAGGTATTTACCCATGTTGTGTTAGGTATTATGGCAAACAGGCTCCTATGTGGAGAAATGTGTCTGAAACATTGAAATGCTAAGAGAAGAAAGTGACTGTATTATTTAGGGTTCTTTTGGGTGTAAGAGGAAAATCCCATTCAAGTTATGCCAGCCTAAAACAGCTCACATAATTTTAAAGTCCCCATTCTGCCAGCTCTCTGGAGCTGTTGTAACAGGCGTCTGGTGTCTGTCACCTTCCCTGGCATTGGCTTCCTTTTCTCTGAGGTTCCTGCCAAAGGGGACTTGAGTCTCCTCCTCCAGGTTCAGTTGCCCCATCTTGCAGTTTAAGAATACTGGAGGCCGAGGAGATGGCTCAGTAGACTAAGCGCCTCCCTGGCAAGCGCAAGGGCCTGAGTTCAATCCCTGGTTCTGCAAAATAAATAAATAAATAAATGAAAAATAATTCCTGTTTCCTCATTCTGGCCAAAACAGACCTTGTAGTCTATTCCCATCACTCTCATCTCACCCGAGGACATTTCAAGAGACAGAAAAAGCCTAAGTAGAGAGACTAAGATGTGGTAAGAAGCCAAAAGGCATTCTTAAGGTTATAAATGCATAAGAGCATCACCAGCACTTCCTTGGTGATTAACCGCCTCTATTTTGCCAATGCATAAGAGCTGAAATTCTTCTGCAACTCAAGCACTAAATCATCATGCCATCAAATTATCACAAACCCCTTTTGACTTCCTGTCTCTTCTCAGGGCTGGCGCTGTGACAATTGCCGCAGACCTGGGGCCGAACCTGGTCCTGAAGGCTCCACCGGCCACTCATACAACCAGTACACACAGAGATACCATCAAAGAACAAACGCTGTAAGTACGCTTGCATCCCACGTCTCCCTAAACACTAGCAGGGGCAGAACAGTCCACACACTTGCACACTTTTCTTCTAAATGAACCAAGTAATTAGTTTTTAAGTCTTATAAATGACCTACATGGAATATTATGGCCTAGAACATCATTAAGCTCTTGAACATCTCTGTCCCTCAGTATACTGCTAGGTGTTTTAGTTACAGAGACAGTTATCCTTTCTAGAAAGTTGTCTTAAAAGTCTCCCCTCTCGACGTTCTTCTACACACTTGGGCAAATTGGCCACTAATGTTTTTTTTTTTTCTATTGCAACAGAACGTTAACTGCCCGATCGAGTGCTTCATGCCTCTAGATGTCCAGGCTGACAGAGAAGATTCCAGAGAGTAATAGCTGCTCCCAGAGAACCAAGCACATCTCTCTGCCAAGGTCCATCTCAACTGGAGTGATTATAGCAGATCCCATCTTTGAGAGTTTCTTTCTATCCTTTTGCTCTGGAGTTCTTCCAGCTTCAGCTCAACTCACAGCTTTTCCAAACATCACCCGGGAGTGTTTTGAGATGTTTCTCATCAGCGAGGGCAGGATGTTGCCTCCTCTGCTTCAGAATATTCAATACCGCTCAGTATTTTAAATGAAGTGATTTTCAGTGTGATTTGCTTTGGGATCAATAGGGAAGCATATGTGCCAACCAAGATGCCAAATGTTGAATAATATTACCAAAATTTTAAATAGGGCAAAAGTTACCCAGACACTTTTGCTTTCACATAACTGTCTGGGCTGCAGTACTGCAGGAATGTCATGTCCTGGTTACTGTGATACTCATAATAGCCACAGTTCTCACTTGTTCCAAACAGTCCTGATGATTGCCCAGAAATATCCTTCTCTTACCTGTTATTTATCAATTTTTCCCAGTATTTTTATATGGAAAAAATTGTATTGAAGACACTTAGTATGCAGTTGATAAGAGGAATTTGGTAATGATGGTTGGTGATTATTTTTTATACTGTATTTGCCAAAGCTTTACTACTGTGGAAAGACAACTGTTTTAATAAAAGATTTACAACCCACAACATGAAGGTCATTCTATTTATATACGGCCTCTGGGGAGGAAAGAATAATCCTCATGAAGGTTCCTTTTCAATTCAGCCAACATCTGAAAATCTAGGATGTGCCAGGCTAATTCTTGGGTGATTTCTGTACAAGATTTTCTGCCTGTCGCTACAAAAACAAATTCATTTTTGTCATTTCATCTCTTGAGTGGTGGAGATAGCTTTATGTTTTCTGCCTTAACAGATTTCAGTGAACTAAAATATTTATTAGAAGTGCTTTAGAAGTATAATTGAAGCAACCTTTAGTTGCCCTCTTCTAATCATTGTAATTCTTCTCTTCCTCTTTCCTGTCCTCATAGAATAAAGGTCTATTCAAGTAGATTCCTTGCAAGGAAAAGAAAAAGATGACTGGTCTGTTAAAACTCCTTAGATAGTACAGTATAGGACCATTTTGTCTTAAGGTGCTCTTGTACAATAACTTCAATCTAACCTGTCTGAATTCTGGTCAACTGACACTTTCATTGCGACTTGATAAACTCCTGACTGAACAGTTGAGTCACTCCTAGACTACAAAGATCATTTACTTTTCAATTTCACATTGGGAAACAACAAAATATTGGGATTAAGTTTGACACTCATGGCTAAAGATGTAGCTTAGTGGTAGAGTACTTACTTAGATCAGCTTGAGGCCCTGAGTTTGCTTCCTGACACCATTCCAAAAAAGAAAAAAAGCCCACTAAAATGTTTTCAAGGCAAGGGATATAGCTCAGTGACAAAGCACCTGACTGGCAAGCATGAGGTCCTGATTTTGATTCTCAGCACCAAAAAAGGAAAGACTTTTCACACACCTACAATCTCAGCATTTGGGAGGCTGAGGCAGGATGATTGCTGGGTGTTTGAGGCCAGCATGGGATATATAATGATTTCAAGGATAGTCTGAACTACAGAGCAAAACCCTGTCTCAAAAAAAAAAAAAAAAAATAGTAGTACGTAGCAACACAAGAAATAGTTGATTATCGTTTAGTAAAAGAGTTGGCAATTTTACATAGAAATATTCAATGTATATCAATAAATTTGGCAAAAAATATAAATATAGAAAGACTTCCTCATGTTAATTTGTTGGGTTTTTAACAGATAAATTTTATTTTATTTTTTTTAATTTTTTATTTTATTGAGAAACATATCAATGAGACAGTTTCAAAACTGATTGATAGGACAGTTTCAATAATTAATACATTGTACATTGTTATCTTCTTAGTGGTTATCCATAGTACAAGATGCAGACATGATATCCTGTCCAAACACTGTTAGTACAAATCTTTCTTCTCATTGAATTAAGCAAAAGTAGTTGTATATCTATCCTAACTATTCTGTATAAACAGATACAAAATGGTCCTTCCTTTGTATCGCCTTTTTTTGTTTAGTCCTGTCAGAAATGGGTATTCCATTGGCATCTAAATACTATAGGTGCGTGAATTCAGCAAAACAATCCAGTGCAGTCCAGTAGTCCACAACAGTAGTGGTTTATCTACAGAACTTGTTGACCTCATGGTTAATGTGTTTTAAAAGAATGCATTTGAGGGCTGGCCAAATAGCTCAGTAAATTAAAGTGCCTGCAAGCAGTTGCAGGGGCTGGGGATTCATCCCTGGGCCTGTCATGCCAGCTTTGCCCCCACTGCTGTCCCCAGGGCCTGCAATTGAGATTGGGTGTGGTGGTGTGCACTTGTAATCCAAGCTCTTAGGAGGCTGTAAACAGGCATCACTATGAGTCCGATCTAGTAGTGAGACATTGAACACCCTGTAAACCCTTCCATAAAAAAAATACAAAAAAAAAAAAAACCCAAAACAATGCATTTGAAATGATTTACAGTTTATAAAGTTGCCTTAACATTTAGCATCTCACATGAAGGTGGTTGTTATACAGTTCAGATGAGTTTTGCTTAGCAGGATACAGCCCTAGACCCTGGATTTTACCATCACTGATCTTACCAGTTCAATAGTTACTAAGCTAGCTGCTCTGCATCAGTTTCATATCACAGCAAGTATGGATCAGGGTGATATTCCATCACTGGCCACACGTGGGTCACCAGTGCTCACAGAACAGAATCGGACTCTACCATAATATGCACTGTGCGGTGGGAAACCCTGTGGAAGAACACGCCCAGATGAAAGCTGGGCTCTTCAGCCTAAGGTAGTGAAAAACTCTTCATATCTAAAAACCATAAAGGAAGAGCGGCATGGGATTGACTGACACTGCTTATGCCTTAGACCACCTGCTAAAAAACGGAACTAAAAATACTTGCTAGAATGGAGCTTTAGCCCATTTGGACTGTATTAAGTGGATAGCACGCCCTTATGAATACTTTTATGAGCAAATGTAAGAACCACAAACGCCACCGTTAAATTTTGTTTTAAAAAGAAAATATAACTTTCCACAATGTCCAGTGAATTTCAAAAGCAGCATGTTTGAATTTTCAAAATAAACTCAGAAGAAATTAAGTAAATTTAAATGGCCTTTTCTGTTTGGGGAGTACAAGGTGAGAAAGGCAAACATTTGTTTCTTGGAAAAATCATTCTCCATGAAAGCCCAGTATTTCCAGAAATCTTTCTCAGCTTTCACTGGCCCACATCACCGCTTCCCTTCAGAACCGCCTTAAACAAAGCTAGACCAGAAAGGTATAATTAAATGACTAGTTGGGATTTAGACAATAAAAAAGGACAATTTTAAGAAAAATAAGCTAAAGCTAGTAAATATTATGTCTTTAAAAAGAAAAATAAGTTTTAAAGTTTTAGCTGTGCTTGCTGTACATGATTTGTAATGAAATTTATTGTGTATTTATACTGTTTTCCTCGCTAATGACCTAAATGAATTATGTAAATTAGTCTATAATAATATCACTATGAGCCCATAGGACACAATTTCTAGGGAGGTGAATAAAGAAATGATCAGGTGGAAATTACAAGTATAGGAAATGACTTTTCTTATTTAATTATATTTCCATTGAAAATTCTATTCCATTTCTAGTTGTATGAAACTCATTAAAGTGATTAAGAAACAACACATCAGCACATTTAAGTGCTGAAATTGCCCGCTATTCAGTAAGTTCCCATTACTGTGGTAGGGAAAGTGGCAGGCTACAATTTAAAAAATCTCATTTTCACAGGATACAATTCAATATTGAAAAAAAAAAGGCCACTGCTGGGATTTCTCATGTTTGGGGACATTTGAAAATTACCAGAAGGCAGGCAAAAGCAGCAGCAGCAGCAAACACAAATATGACCTCACACAAACTAAGAAAGTTCAAGTCTGTGGCACTTCTGACTGAAATGAGAGTTGATTTCATTACTGCATTGTCCCATTCCGTAGCCTCATTAAAAGATTCTATTTGAGTTGCCAACAAAAATCCACACAAATTGCAAATGAACAAAATCCTGTAAGCAATAAAAGCAAGAGGAATGGTGCTTCAGCTAAGAGCCCCAAACGGGAAATTCCTTTTGTAACATTCCTCAGCAGTCAGCCATGAGATATTAAACCATGTTTTACATTTCCTTGAATTCCTTTTTACTTACTCTTTAGAGACATATTGGTTTTAACAATCTGAGGAGTCAGATTTCTCTCCAAAGAACTCTTGTGTGGAACCCCATTCCCCAAAAAAACCTTGAAATTAGAGCTAAGATTGCAAGAGGCAGTGTGGTCAGCACCGGCTCTCACCAGGTCTGAGCCGCCCAGCCTGTGAGCTGCCCACAGCAGGCTCCCTTAGGTCAACCAAACACGGCAAGGCCCAGGGTCCTACTGCCAAGGAGCTCCCTGCACCACAGAACTTCGGCCGCTGGGGGCCAAGACACCCGCCTCTTGCATTCAGCTTTGGATGTACAATGCTGAGGCAAACAGTTTTGACTCAAAAGCATGCCACTTTGGTGGAGGAACTGGAACCTCCTACATTGCTGGCAGAAATATAAAACAGTGTAGCCACTATAGAAAGCAGTCTGGTGACTCCTCAAAAAGTTAAATATACTTATCCTATGGTAGTGTAATTCCACTCTGAGGTACATACCCAAGAAAGAAAACACACGCTCATATTAGACTTGTACATACATATTCGCAGCGGCCTTAATCGTGATAGTCAAAAAATAGAACCCACATTCTGTTAGCTGATGGATCACTAAATAAAATGTGATACATACAGATGACAATGTTTGTGTGTAAAAAGGAACGAAGTATGACAAGTTCTGCAACGCAAACCTTCAAAACATTATGCTGAAAGAAGCCAACCACAAAGGATGATATATGATCCCATTTATGTGAAATGTCCGGAATTGGCAAATCCACGAAATAGAAAATAGCTAAAGGGGTAGCCTAGGGCATGAGGGTTGGGGGTGTGTAATAGGAATAAAGTTTATTTTTAGGATGATGAAAATGTTAGGGAGATAGATAAATATACAGCAGTGTAAATACACTTTAAACCACTGAATTGTACAATTTAAAATGATTAAAATGCTGGCTTTTATTTTGATTGAAGTAAAGGATTCCATTTTAGTTACAGAAAATGTCTAATACTTTTCCATTGGTAGTGAGATGGGGTGAAAATAAGTCGAAGGAATTCAGAACTGTTTCAGCTACCACTTTGGAAACTGAGATCAAAGTATGCATAAATATACATTTAGAATAATTCATGGTCATCTATATATATTATCTCACCCTACTTCTATGTTACACAGAAGCAATATGAAAATAACCAGCTGGGGCCAGGGAAATAGCCCAGTGGCATAAGCACCGGGCTGCAACACAAGGTCCTGGGTTCCACCCCCAGTACCTCAAAAAAAAAAAAAAAAAAAACACCCCAAATAGCTAGCATTTCCCCCAAACAGCACTTGTCATGTTCCAGGTGGTACTGCTGAGAGATCGCCTTCACTTTTCAGAGGTGAATGCTGTTACTCTTCCAAGTAGAAAGTGCGAGAAAGGCCACATCAATCATGTCAGGTCACATGACTTGTGAGTAGCAGAGATGGCCTTGTGCCGCAAAGTCTTATTCCAGGGAATGGGCTCTTACCTAGGAGCTATTCAGCCTCCTTAGGAGTGGCTTCATATTTATCCTATGTAGGGGCTGGGGAGAGGGCTCAGTAGAATAAGCACTTGCCTCGCAAGCCCAAGGGTCTGAGTTCAGTTCCTGGTTCCGCCAAAAAAAGCACAGGAATGTAGAGGTTGTTGGCACAATTCAATTTTCTTTTTCTTTTTCTTTTTTTGTGGTACCAGGGATTGAACTCGGGACCCTGCACTTGCCAGGCAACCACTTATTCTACTGAGCTATCTTCCCGACCCTCACAGTTCTATTTCAATTGCTTCTCTTAGAAATGTCTGGTCAGGTGCTGGGGAGATAGCTCAGTAGAATAAGCACTTGCCTGGCAAGCACAAGGGCCTGAGTTCAATCTCTGGTTCCACCAAAAAAAAAAAAAAAGAAAGAAAGAAAAGAAAAAGAAATGCCTGGTCACTGTGATGCATAGCTGGTCACTATGATGCACACTGTATAAACCAATACCCAACTGACAAGCCATTCTTCCCATAGAAGCCCAACACCACCAGAATTTGGTCCTGATATTCTGAGAATGATCCTGATCAGTGCTTGTGGACATAAATCTGCCTGCAAATCTTGACTGTTATTGCAACTCAATGTTTAAAAAGTATTCTTCAGTGAGGTGTAATGATGTACACATGTAACCCTAGCACTCTGGGAGGCTGACACAGGATGATTGCAAGTTTGAACCCAGTCTGGGCAACTCAATGACTTAGATCCTGTACAAACAAACAAAAAAAAGAAGGGATAGGGCAGGGATGGTGAACCTTTTAGAGCCTTCAATGACACAAACAGTCTGCTTCAGCACATGTGACATAGGGTCACCACTGCTGAGCTGGGGTATGGCTCAGTGTGAAGGGCCTGAGTTCAATCCCCAGTACTGAAAAGTTATTCTTCAAACATATTTTTCATGATCTGTCCATAAAATGTATTACAATTTAAGATAAACTTGTGGGCTGGGGAGATAGGTCAGTGGCATAAGCACCTGCCTGGCATGTGTAAGGTCCTGAGTTCGATCCCCAGTACAGACGTGCTTTTTTTTTTTTTTTTTTTTTGGGGGGGGGGCTGGCTCAGGATGCCTTCAGGGCAGGTCTGGTATGGCTTGAGCATCTAGGGATCCAACCACAGCAACCTAAGACTGACTGCTCTGTTTAAGCAGTCTCTTAAACAACTCAGGTAATGGAGGGCCCCCTCTATCCCCAGTACAAAAAACAAACAAACAAACAAAAAAACAGTGGTCAGGGAGATGGCTCAGTGGAAGGAATAAGTGCTTCCCTGGGAAGTGCATGGGCCTGAGTTCAATCCCTGGTTCTGCCAAAAAAACAAAAACAAACAAACAAACAAAAACCCCCAATAAACTTGTGCCTAGCCCTGTTCTGCAAAAATAAGGTTTAAAGAGGGTCTAAGAGTGGAAGGTACTGTAAGCATAAAGATCTACAGGGTTTTGTGTTGAGTAGGGTTGCACTGTGAGCTCCTTCTAAAAGTGACCAGGTACAAAGCAGGGAAAAGGACCAGGCAACAGGACATGGGCAAAGGATGCCTTCAATGGAGGGTGCATACAAAGGAGTATGGGGGTTCCTTCTTTCCTCGCCCCTCACACTTTATTCTACTGAGCTATCTCCCCAGCCCCAATAAGTTCTTTATTCACCTGTTTCGTTAGGTATCTTTTGCCCTTTGGTATCAATGAAATAATGGATTCAAGATCTCTATGCTTTTTACTTCAACACCACTCAACGTCTGGGCTTGAAATATTGGATGTTTTAATTGTATTAAAGACTGTTGGGCCAGGGAGATGACTCAGTAGAATAAGCACTTGCCTGGCAACCTCAAGAGCCTGAGTTCAATGCCTGGTTCCAGGGGGGAAAAAAAAGACTGTTAATGGATCTCAGTTTTTGAACACTCAAAAGCACTGGCCACTTCAGCCAAGCTCAACCTGAGTTCATACAAAGAAACAGCAAGTCATAGAACAAAACACAAGGCACCCCGGGAAAGAGCTAGCACTGTTGTCAGTGGCTGCCTGAGGGGTTGGGGCTTGGCCTGCCTGGCGGGACAGTATGAGCATCACTCTAGGAAGGGTCTGCTGCGGTGGGCTTGTTTTGTGGAGTGGACCCCTGACGGTTTTGTTGCTTAGCTGCTCCATTCAAATCTGTGAATTCCTTGGGGCTGAGGACAAACCAGAAATTCTGTTTCAGCTCTATCAGTCAGGACTAGGCAGGGCACAATGGGTGCAGGACTCACACCCCAGAATCCCTCTGGACAGATTTTAAACTGGCATACTTGATTACAGATTCCAACAGATTAGAAACATTAGATGTGAAAATTACAACTCCTGAAATGAAGGCTCCATGGAGGGGACAAACAGCATAATAGATACAATGTAGGAATTAATGAAATAGAAGGCCACCTGCAGACGCTCTGCACCCTGAGCTGTGTCCTGATGGGAAGATCGGAGGTGCGAGATGCTCTTGATGTAGCTCCTGCACACCCCTGCCTACCAGCACAGCACACCGCCGAGCACAAACTGTTTACACTTAAAGCGTGTGGCTAGGAGCTCCAGCCTACTGTTCCTGCCCAGCCCGACTCTGCTGTGCCACATTCATATTACTAGGTAAGAAAAGACCCAAGTTCAAAATGTAAAGCATGGTTTCTAATGAATGTCTATCATTTTTGCACCATTATGAGATCCAGCCACTCTACACTGGGGATTCTATCTTTTTTGAGCAATTTTTATTATTTATTGATACAAGCAGGGTCTCACTACGCAATTTCGACTCATAGTGATCCTGTCTTAGCCTCCCCAGAGCTGGGTTTACAAGGGTGCACCACCACACCCAGTTTCCGTGGCTAGCATGGCACACCTGGACTTCCAGGACTGGGGATTGAGCCAGGCCCTTGTACTTGCCAGGCAAACAATTAAGACCACTGAGCTATCTCCCCAACCTGAGCAATTTTTTATTGCCTTACTTTATATAAATACTAAGAATGGTACTCCAAACACCTCAATTACAACTATTACATACAAATTAAGAAAACAATCCATCCACATCCGTTTTCCAGTGGTTGGAAAGAGCTGGAGGTGAAATTTCACCAGGGCCTCCCAGGTGTGAAAGTATGATTTTTAAAGACTTGAAATGGTAGTAGTGCGTAGATTCAGTTGTGAAAATATGGCTCGACTATGCTGTATAAAATTGTATCTTTAATGCTAATCTTCAGTCAGGCTAGAGTATCAGTAACTTGGAGGAGACGGAGAGTGCACTTAAGAGTTTACGAGGGGCCAGGGAGATGGCTCAGTAGGATAAGCGCTTGACTAGCAAACGCAAGGATCTGAGTTCAATCCCCGGTTCCGCCAAAAAACAAAACAAAACAAAACAAAACAAAACAAAACAAAACAAAACAAAACAAAACAAAAAACCAGTTTACCAGCCCAGCTCTGTTAGCCACTTACCGCGGGCTATGGCTTGTGTCTAGATGTTCCCCTAAAGCCTCCTGTGGTCACTGAGGTTTCTGGAACTGGCTGAAAGTTTGTGAGTCATTCGAAGTGCAATGCTGGGAATTAAGGGTGCTGGGATAAAGGGTAATTGCTGGATCAGTCCACTGATTAGACTGGCACCACCCTAACCCCAGTCTGGATAAAAGGAAGTCTTACTTCCCTATCTTTGCTGTTTTGCTGTCTTCTGCTGGCAAGAACTGTTGCCCCCTGCCATGTGCTACCCTGCCTTGCAGCCATCTGATTAGAATGAAACCTCTACGAACTGAGTTAAATAAACCTTTCCTCTCTTAACTTTGGGCATTGAGTATTTTGTCTCCGTAATAAGAGAAAAAGTAGCTAAGACACTGCCACACTGCAAATAACTTCCCCCACACACCCAAAACCGTGGCTTATTTAATGTCTGCCTTCATGAGCCAGGAACTCGTGAGCATCTTCACTGGGCAGTTCTGGCGCAGATGCGGTAGTGGTGGCCAAAGTGGGATGGGCTGCTTACCTCTCATAGCACTGCCCAGGCTTACTTCAGGGCAGCAAGCAATCTGAGAAACTGAGGTGGAGATCAGTCTTATGACCTCACCTCAAGGTCACAGATTCTGCCGTTCTTTATTGATCACACATATCACCTTTGTTTCAATAGCACAGGATCCTAATTAAGGGCTGGAAGATTAGTCAACATATAAATGAATTACACAGATGAACTTAAAATTCAAGTTTTTATTCAGGACTGTACTGAAGACACAGAAGACAGGACTCATCTATGAGGTGAACAGTGGCAAAGGCTCAAGCTGACTAGAGGTAAGATCCAGGTGCGCTGTTGGGACCACATACAAAGGGGACAGGGATGTTCTGCTGCACCTTCCGGAGGCACTGCGTTGAATTCATCGAAAGGGCTTTGGGGTGGACACTGTATCCACACAGAAGACTTTCTTTTGGTTCTGAGGGATTTTTAGTGGTAGGGAAAGAACACAGGGCCTCATGGTGGTAAGCACAAGCTTTATCAAGGAACTAAACCCCAAGTCCTGATTATGTTTATTTATGCAGCTCCACAGAGGCGATCTCTGGCTGAACATTTCACTAACAGTGAAGTAGGCATTAGCATTATCCATGGAGGGGTCAACAGGACTTGCTAATCCACCAAGGTTTCAGCTCCCAGAGGATAATCTGCTGTTGTTAGCAGACAACCAAGCTTCTTAGAAATACTTTGAAAAGCCTGCCTGAGAGGAAAGCTTATGAGGAAACTAACGCTTGTGGAGCCTAACGCTTGTACAATACATTTTTTCTGGCTGACCAGCTTTTCCAGTGTAAATGTAGGTTTCTGGGTTTCACACAGGAGTGTGGTGGGGGCAGTGGAGCTCCATGAGGGAGAGGCATGCATGGTTTCTCACAAGCAAACCTGGCATGTTTCAGAGAGGCTAAGAGCATATTATACCTTCACAACCAGTAAAATGCAACTGCCTAAAGCCATGGATCCAATTATTAATGTCATGTTTTATTTTTAAAAAAGATGTTTTTAAAATTTCACACGATTGTTCATCTACGTACAAGCAACCACAAGAAATTTACAAGTGGTAACATCAGTGGTGGAAGAGACGGAGATCTGTATGAGCCAAGACTATACCCAACTCGTCGCATGCCTCGATCACAACCTTGTCAGCAGCGGAACCAGAAGGAGCTGCAATGTAGGCCACACCACTCTAGGGGAAAAAAAAATCAGCATTAATTTTCAGAGCACAACTGTATGTAAAAGCCTGCAAAAGTCAAAATCACTCTCCTAAGCAGCTAAGCCAAAAATGACTCATTCATTCACAAGGCAAAACAGGCCCCTTTCTTTTGAGGGCCTGTTTTCTGAGTGTGTACTTTTTATTTTAACCCTACCTAATAAACCTGTCTGCTATCTTTTAAAAAAACACAAGGTACAGAGACGATATTTTAGTTATCCCCACATCCAATAGAGAAGCCAAATAAGTCTACTACTGATTTACATCACACCATCACAGCTTTGATATGTAACTCTTCACCACTTACAAAGCACAAGGCGAATGTGTGAAATCATCCCACATGACACCTAAGTCCAGTCCCACGCGCGCTGATTCTTGCTTACCCTTTTAGCTCTGTCCACATTATCCCTGAAGGGAAAGAATGCGTCGGAGCTGAGGGCAACCTCACTTAATCTGTCAACCCACTCCTTCTTCTCTGCCTCAGTGAGCAGCTCAGGGACATCCTCAAAAAGAGCTTTCCACTTCACCAAATCCTCATCCTGTGGGGGCAGTGAAAGGAAAGGGAAAGTGAATCCCACATCATTTTTAGTAGTATCTCATAAAAATCCCAAGCCAGACGACACAGGTTATTCTTTTTTAGGACTTCTGGATTATAATAAATCATCTAAGGCTCATAGTTTTATCTTTGATTTTTTAAAAAAATTTTAAGATCTAAATTTTAAGTAAATGACCATTTCAGTATCTAAATTAGTTTATTTCAAATATAGTTTGTTCTCAAATCTCTAAGTTAAATCTACTTCAAAATCTAACAAAGAAAACAGAAAATCACATTACAAATCAAATATAAGTTTTCAAAGGTATCCTCCACAACTAATCCAGGAAACAGATGACACATATCCTAGCATGAGGATTAAGTCAACTACAGCAAAATCAAAACAAGGTTCTAGCATTTGCTAAGGTTTAAAAGTCTGAGTTCTCTTTAAAATGTAGGATGAAACCTAATCTCCACAGAAGTGTCAGAGGTAAGGATTTAGGGGTGATTACAAGGGCTCTGTCCTCATGAATGGATTAGCACCTATAAAATGGCTTCAGCGGTAGGCTGCTGTCCCCTTGTGAAGACACAGCATCTGTCCCCTGCAGAGGATGCAGCAATAGTAGGTCACAGTGAAAGCACAGGTTAGCCCCTACCAGACACTAAACTCGCTGGCACCATGACCCTGGACTCTCCAGCCTCCAGAGCTGGGATAAGTAAATCTCTACTGTTCACTCAGTCTGTAGCACTTCATTGTGGCAGCACAGACAAGATGTGCATATTTCAAATGTACTTCTGTTTGGTTTTAACACAACTTTGATTCTTGTTCATATGTAAAATTTCTTCCCAGACTATTTAGTAGCAGACATTTGCTGTGCAGTATCAAACAGAAAAATCCAAGCAGTGAAGTACAAAGGAAAAGACACATGAAGTACTTCCAGGTTAGAAGGCGCACTGCAGCCTCCCTCTCCCAACATTTAGGTGGCCTCCCACTAACAAATGGACAAGCGGACTCAGCGCACCTCTTCTGAAGACCACTCATTTCTGACTACCAGACCTCTTGCTTTCCATCCAATATCTTATTAGGCACTTGCTAGGCACAGAATCTGGGCCAAAGCTTTTCCTCTAGCAGCCTCCCTCATGTTTGCAATTTTAATGTTCCCCACATGCTTTCTTCAAAACAAGATATTTAAAAAGATGAATGGCAACAAAAATGTATTGGTTGTTAGTGCTACTTGCTGAAAATGTCAGGTAATTTGTATTTAATGTTCAATATGCAGCTGTCAGCAGCAAGCTTCTGCCTGACACTAAGAGACACCTCAAAATGGGTGAAAAACAGTCCTTCTCATGAAAAGTTTGTAGTCCACAGGGGACACTCAATCATACAAAACTAAACTATTCATAATAACTTAAAAGAAAAAAGTCTGTGGTTTTAGAAAGGGATAAAAACAATGAAACTAAATGAGATAGGACAGAATAAATTGCTAAGGTTTGGTTAACCATTTTATTTATTTATTTATTTTTAAATTTTATTTATTTATTTATTTATGTGTGTGTGTGGCCAGCTCAGCCCACCAGGGGGCGGGGCTGGCTGGCATGTGGTGCTGGGGGATTGAACCGCAGTCCCTGTGCTTTGCTAAGCTTGTTCTAAGTAGGTGCTTTAGACCACTGAGCCATCTCACCAGCCCCCTGGTTAACCATTTTAGATAACGCAGAATTTCAAGAAAAATACCTTTTATTTCTCTGTGGATATGTGAAAAAATAATAATCACAAAAAGGTGATTATTACCACAGTCTGGCTAGAGTTCGAGGACAAGCCTCTTACCTCACCAATGGTGCCAGTCACGTACTGATCAATGGCATTGGAGATTTCTGCTCTCTTCACTCCAGGCTTAAACTTCATTGAAAGCACCTGTGGATGGTGTCTGAGCCACCAATAGTTTGCTTTATCTCCTGCAAGGCGTGTGCAGTGTATCCGAGATTGCTGGCCTGCTCCGATGCCAATAACCTGAGGGACACAGACATGCAATGAATACCTCTTCCCACAACGCATTCTTCCCTAAGGACATCAGCAGTAAAGCCCTTATTTTGCAGGGACACCAGCAGGTATGACCTCCCACAGCTCTCTTACTAGAGGCTGACAAACTTAATGGTGAAAATGACTATAACTTCTGAAAAGGGTCTTCTAGGTATCATGCTAATGAATATCCATCTGCTTCTACTTGTGGGCCAAACAATTTAACAAATGCTGAGACAGACTGGAGGCACAGCGGAGAAGGGCTCCCTGTTTCGAACTTTGAGCAAAATCAATTTCAACCATAAGTTAGGCGAGACCTTAGTAATTAACCAGCTCAACACTGTATTCAATGGCTTTGATACAATTAGTTAATATATTAAGAAAAAATAAGTGTAGATCATCTTCAACTGACAACAGGTTGACAAGCCTACAGTAACCTGAAAATATCTTAAGTCAAAAATGTACTAAAAAGGGGCCGGGGAGATGGCTCAGTAGAATAAGCACTTGCCTGGCAAGCACAAGGGCCTGAGTTCAATCCCTAGTTCCGCCAAAAAAAAAAAAAAAAAGTACTAAAAAAAAATGTACTAAAACACAGCTCCAGCCCTACCCCTGGGTATGTTGAGCCGCCACTAAGATTGGGTGTGGAGGCGCACGCGTGTAATCCTAGTGCCAGGGAGGCTGAAAGCAGGAGTGTCACTGAGCTGCATAATGAGACCCTATGCCAAATACATGGAAAAAAAAAAAAAATACTAAATACACCTACTCTACCAAACACCATAGCTCTTAGCACAGTCTACCTTCTACATGCTGTACCCATACACAATTAGCCAAAACCATCTTAACATAATGCCTGTTTTATAATAAAGTGCTGAGGACCTCATATAATTTATACTGTGTTGAAAGTAAAACAAAACAATACAATGTAATATGGGAGGACTTTCACACTGTTCTCAAATCAAAGCCTGGTTAAGTTCAGTCATTTTAAGGTGGAGATGATCTGTACTTCTTGCCAGTGATCACACAAGTATACAATTTGTGAACACTGTACTTACTGTGCATTTACAAATCATATCAATAAAGTTGAATTTTAAAGGTCAGGCTCACTCCTAATCTCACAGTCTTTCTGCTCATGAGAATCTAGGTAAGATAACATAAGAAACCGGGAGGTGCAGCTTGGAGGCAAGGCTCTTGCCTACTGTGCTCGGTCCCTGCATTTCATCCCTGGACCTAGGGAGGAGAAGACAACATAGGAGGTATGTGTGAAGATAGCTTGCCAGCAACAAAAAGCCTAGCCCAATGGGCAGCAGTGCCGTTCTCCTTCCCTCTTCACTGGAAACTCTACCAATGGGGAAACGGTGATGAAACCATTCTTAACAGCTATTAGCATCCCACTAATTCACAATGTGCCACCACATTCCAGGCAAGAGGCAAATGACTAATTTTAGTACTTGGTTTCAAAGCTATTTCTTAATCATCACTAGTTTTAACAGTCTACCAAGGTGCTGAGTAAACACTGACAAACCCAGAGGAAGAAACCTGGCAAGCTTTCCCTTTCAAGCTATCTGATACCTGAGGCAGATGGGTTTTTGAATATCATTTTGTAAGATAACAGTCCACCCGGTGTGGGTCTGACAGCTTGGTTACCTGCCCGTTCTTGGCATAGCACACGGAGTTGGACTGAGTGTACTTGACAGCAATGGTGGCGACAATGAGGTCTCTGAGGGCAGATTCGGACAGCTGAAACACAGAGTGGTCAAGTGGCTCAGTGCTCTGTAAAAGTCATTAACTTTAAGCTTCTTACACGCCTGTCAGGTAGTCATGCTGCTCAGATCAGAGAGAAATTATTCATGCTACACGCTACCAGGTTTCACTAAAAGGATCCGGTATTTAACATATCTGTGGTTGATGTGCACACGATGCCCAACATGCAACAGCTTCAAGCTCGTGCCACTGTGCAGCAACTCTGCAGAAAGCCTGCGTATATCAAGCAAGAGATGGAATAGTGTATTCATTTCAAAACTGACAAGTAATACTTTCCTTACTGGAATGCCTTTCAGTATCTGCAAATATAATAAAACTTGTGCCCATAAACAATGCTGAGGTCAATTTTCATACCCATTACTGACCACTGAACACATACACATAAGCAAAGCTGCTCACAGAAAATCAAATGAGGGTCATTTTCTGCTTCGTTTAGAATGTTCTAAGGAAAATCTGTTCAAAGCTTCATTGTGAACTACCAGCAGAACAGTCAATATGTCACTAGCTTTAAGGAGCTCTAAGTTGGTATGCTAGGTGGACAAATATCAACTGCATTTAGCTGATAAATTAGATGACAAAAAATACTAAGTCTGATATCAGAATCAATTTTCAACTTTGTTAAAAACCCCTTAAGAGAAGACAAAACAGACTGAAAGGAAACATCTGAAAATTATATAATGAATAACGAACTAGGACTGACACTCCTTCCCTACAAATACACACACAAAACTCCCTAAACTGACAAAAAGTTTAATTAGAAAATGGTCAAATAACAGTTCACCAAAAAGGACATATGGGTGGCAAATAAAGCACATCAAAAAATGTTCAGCACTGTGAATTATTAGGAAGTGCAAATTATATTACAATTAGTAAGCTATAACTACAGTTGCCAGAATGTCTGAAAAACAAAATCAAAAAACAAACCAACGACCACACCCAAAGCCTGCAGAAATGGAACCACTCATCCATTGTTGGTGGGAATAAAAAATGGTATGACCACTTGGGACACACTTTTGCAGTTTTAACACTAAACATAGGATTACTGGGCTATAAAGCAATCGATACTCAGGGGCACTCACCAGAGAAATAAAAACTTATATTCACGTAAAAAGCAGTGTATGATTGTGCAATAAATAAAAACTGTAGAAAAGGAGAACAGGTTAGTGATGGCCCAAGGTCAAGGCTGTTGGAAGTGGCACAGAGAAAGCCTGGATGTACAGGAGCAGCGGGAGTTCTGCACCCTACCTGCATTCCTCACAGCTGCAGTACTGTACCACAGTTCTGCAAGATGTTAGCTTTAGGCAAGATGAGACAGTACACAGGAAGGAAGCCTGTTAATTGCCAGTGAACCTACAATTTTTATTTTTTTTAAGAGTTGAACCTACAACTTTAAAATTAGAAGTCTGAAGAAACAATTTCTTAAAAATTTATTATTATAAGGTGTTCATAACATGATATACCCTTACACTCTTTCTAATATTTAAGTCATCACGTAAAAATTTAATTCCTTGGGTTCCAAGATTCAACAAAAGCCCAGATGTCTGCTTTTAGATAGAACCCAAAGGGCCCACCAAATAGCTCAGCGGATTAAAACACCTGCAAGCAGGTGCAGGGCCCAGGGTCTGATCCTAGGGCCTGCTGTGCTGGCCCTGCCCCCGGCGTGTGCTAAAACAGCAACTGAGATTGGGCGTGGTGGCACATGCCTGGAATCCCAGCTCTTGGGAGTCTGTAAATAGGCAACAGGCAGAACACTCTGAGTCCAGTCTATGCAGTGAGACCCTGAACATTTTGTAGACCCTTCCCTAAAATACAAAAAAAAAAAAAAAAAAAAGATAGAAACCAAGGATTCTGAGCTAGGGTCAGGAATATGAGAAATGTGAGTGGGAGGAAATGGGCGAATCGACATATTGAAAAGCACTACTGCTTGCTGCTGCAAACAGCGGCAGAGGAAGTAACTGAGGCATTTTCTGCACTGAAACTGCTTGCTCGACCTGCCCAGCTCTCAAGACCGCAGCCCTCGCAGGCCTACCAGTACTAGCCAATGACCCTAAGGCAGGAACATGAACAATTCTGCTGCAAAAACAGACTGGAAAGGAGGACCAAACTATCACTCTGATGCTTCCAAATTTCTACTAAGAATACACAGAAAGCAAGGAGAGAAGAATTTAGATAAAAGATTATGATTTTACCCTCTCCCATTAGTGCAAAAAATATTCAGAGGCACAAAATCTATCAGAGATTGCTAAATTGTTATTTAGTCCAATACCTATAGATCTACAGGAAAAAAATTTAAAAGTGGTAAATTCTCAAGGGCTGAAGGATTCCTGCATCAATGCCTGCATGTTCATTTCAAGGCACTACTCATTCTCATAAGTAAAAATGGAACAATATCCAATAAAGGACAACAAGAAAAAAATCATTCATCAAGTGCTTAATAGACAAAAGTAGCAAATAAAGACTTCAGAGCTTGTTTCAGCCATTCTAGTTACAGTCCCAGGAGTGAGACCTTGAACAAAAGCAGTCTTCAGTTTCTGCTGCAGGGAGTTGTGCAAGGAGACCAATCCTCTCCCAGGGACAAGCTGAGCAGCTGACCCGGTAACTCAGACAGCCATAGATCCCAGACACAAAGGGAGCTGAATGAAATGAGTCTGACAACTCTCACTTTCCCCCTCCAGGCATGTTCCTAGCAGCCGCAATACAATGAGAAGTAAATAAGCCGAGCTCAGCCTCTGCAAGTCTTACAGGAACCAAACAGAGCTTGAGTCCACCAGGGAAGAGCATGCCAGCAGGCACCAGGGCTCTGGCAGAACGGGAATGAATCATGAACAGGTCGGCCTCACAAACACTGGAAGCCCAAATTCAAACCAGCTTAATTCCTTGATAGCAGGAGGTGGGATGCTCTACCTTATGTACCTGCAGACACATAACTCTCTGGAGGAAAACCACAGGCCCAGACCCCATGATATCTCCATGGTTTTTTAGATCAAGCAGTCAGCATTCATTTAAACATTCCAGCTACATCAACAGTCCTAATCAAAAAGGGGTGACACCTTCAAAGAACTAAAGAAAAGTAGTCAACCTGAAACTTGGAAAAGCAACCTGCAAAACTGCTGGCCAATATATTGGGGCTGGGCTGTAGCTTTGTGGTACAGTGCAGGCCTAATCTGCAGGAGGCCCTTTATTCAATTCCCAACAGAAACAAAAGCTTTATCAGCTTATCCACTTCCCTAATGTATAACCTTTGAAAATTTCTTAACTGTATTCAATGTCACAATTTTATGATCTTCACAACAGAGATGAGTCCATTCCCACAGAGTACCCTGAGATAAAATGAAGTAACACACTGAAAATCCCAGGGCTGGCCAGACAGCTCAGCAAATTAAAGTGCCTGTTCAGGCAGGGACCAGGGTTTGACTCCCAGCCGCACTGAGACAGTGACAGAGACTGTGCATGGTATTGTGTGCCTGTAATCCCAGCGCTTGGGAGGCTGAAAACAGGAGGATCACTATGAGTCCAATCTGCATAGTGAGACACTGTACTAAATACATTGAAAAAAAGAGAATCCCAAAAAAATGGGATATAACTATGAATGTCCATTTTGTATCTGTGTATTCAAAGTGGTTGGGATAGATATATAGTTGCATTCTCTTAATGAATAGAATGATTTTTTCTAATGGTGTTTGTAAGTAGGATCACAAGTCTGCATCTTGTACAGCAATTAACCACTAAGAAGAATATATGCAGTGTATTATTTGTTGAAAAAAAAAAAAAAAAAAGAGAGAATCCCACCCATTATCACCATTATCCTAGATATATGTCTCTCTTAAGATGACCAAGAGCCTAAGTAAAAAAACCTGCAGGTAGGTTGAACCTGCAGTCCACCTAACCTTTTTAAAAATGTTACAATTGAAATATTAAAAAATAAAGTTTTATTACTTATATAGATTAATGATATTGCACTATTTTATATATGGCCTAACATAGTTCCTTCTTATTCAGTATGGCCCAGGCAAGTCAAAACGCTAGATACCACTCCTCACAAAAACATCAATCATAACACAACTGAAACAAGATGAGGGGCTGGTGAGATGGCTCAGTGGTCTAAAGCACCTACTTAGAACAAGCTAAGCTAAGCAAAAGCACAGGGACCGCGGTTCAATCCCCAGCACCACATGCCAGCCAGTCCCAGGGGGCCGTCCCCTGGTGGGCTGAACTGGCGCCACACACACACTAAATAAATAAATAAATAAAGGTTTAAAAAAAAAAAAAAAGAAACAAGATGAGTATCTACCATAGTTCATCCATACATGGGTTGTCATGTAATTTTTTCAGATAAAAATGTGATTCTACAGTTACTGACAGGAAAACAGAACTGTAGTCTCTCACTTGCAAAAAAAGGCATGCAGTAGAAGACACGACCCCACTGATGCCTACTTGGAGATGCTTATCCCTATGAAGGGACATATGCACACAACTTCTATGTGCTCTCTTATTTACTTTTTAAGCTCTCAGGCTCACCTGACAACTCAGACAAGAGATAGCTGTTTGTACAGATAAGGGAATTCACAAATACAGTTTATAAATACTGAAAACACACTACTAAAATTACTACCATTTAGTTCTCATATTTTCAAACTTACCTGTTTGTTCCTGGTAACCACATTGCTAAATAATGACTTGTTGATGATACCGTTATTTCTCTTCTGGCTTAAATGAAGACCAAAGAGAGTTCGAACTTCATTTTCATCTGGTTTATAAGACTGGTCCATCTAAGGGACAATTTAGAAAGCTGCATTACATTTATATTCAACTATTTCATTTTCTTCTGTACAAAAGATTGTAAGTTCTACCTACTTTTCTAAAACAAATGTGTGCCATAATACAATGGCTACACAACAGCATTTTGCTAGAAAATTAATAGATAATAACTTAGAATTTAACATACAATATATTATAACCAATGATTCTATGAGAGTATTTCTGGTAACGTTATATTAAGCTATCTGCATAGTCCTTTTTGAAGGTCAGCAGGTAAAACATTGTTAATAAATAGGCTATGGCATGAAAATCATTCTATTTGTCTTTGCTTTTTAAAAACATACTGTACAAAGTACCTAGCTAACACCTGAATCAGAAGTTAACATGGAAAAAAGATGTGCAGTCTATGCCTTTGTTATCTGGAAGGGAATTTATGTCATTTATCATTATCTTCCTCTCTCAAATTTTTAATTGAAAAGATATTAAATCATATAGAACATTATATTAAAACTATTCTCTTTCAGTATCTAAACTTAACAGTAGGGGCCAGGGAGATGGCTCAGTGAAATAAGCACTTCCCTGGCAAGCGCAAGGGCCTGAGTTCAATCCCTGGTTCCGCCAAAAAAAAAATAAAAATAAAAATAAAAATTAAAAAATAAAAGATAAACTTAACAGTATTTCTTTATTTACCTTTTAGATGATCACTGCCTTGGAAAGCACTTGAGTCTATAATTTATAAGCAAACCTCCAGCACAATGTTACTTTTCTTTAACCTATGTGCTTTGTTGTTTGCACTGTAACATTTTTAGTATTAGTAGCCTTCCCATTCACTGATATCAAAAGAAACCTGTCATTAGTAAGGAATAAGCTGTTTCATGGCCATAATCACATATAAGTGGAGCTAATTTTCAGACAAAATATGAAGGGAGTCCCAGTGTCACCTCCAGCAAGACAGTATCAGGTGCTGAGAGGGCCATAAGGAGGAGCTCTGGGTTGGGAAAACATTTTCCACAACAGTACACACAACTGCTAATGGTGGTACACAATCAATGCTCTTAACAGCAACAAAAACAAAAAAATACAGTGGCAGCTAATTGTATGGTTAAGCTTACACATTTGAATTTAAAAAAAGATGTATACTTAACATAGTTTCTTCTTTCTTTTAAAGGGTGACATGGAGTCTATGGTGATCTTTAGTGTTATGGTATTTTACGATCAGGAATACAGTCTTCAGTATTTGTGGGTTTAAATAACTACCAATCAAGAACACCACAGGGAAAAAAAAATACAGTATCTGTACCAAACACATACTATTTTCTTTGTAATTAACTCCCTAAGCAATACAGTATAACCACCACCTACATAGCACTTACAGTGTAGTAGGTATTATCAGTAATCTAGAGAGATTTAAAGAATATGGGAGGATTTACACTGGTTACATATAAATGACTGCACTATTCTGTAAGAGCTTTGAGCACCTCAGAATTTTGGTAACCAGAGGTCCTGAAACCAATACTTCACATTAATTTAATTAATTAGCACAGTTTGTGCTCCTCTCTCTTTCTTTCTTTCTTTCTTTCTTTCTTTCTTTCTTTCTTTCTTTCTTTCTTTCTTTCTTTTTTTTTGAGACAGGGTCTCTCTGTCTCTCTGTAGTTCAAGCTGGGCTTGAACTAACAGTGATCTTCCAGTCAGCCCCCTGCGTGCTGGGATCACAGGTATAAGCCACCATGCCCAGCTGTGCTCTAATTTCTAAATGCCCTGACAGTTGTAAAACCAATGCTTTAATACTTCACAATTTTCTCTGCCACACATCAGTTATGGTTAAAAATGTTATCGAAATGAGCTGGGTTTAGTGGTGCATGCCTATAGTCCCAGAATTTGGAAGGCTGAAGCAGAGGAATCACAGGTTCAAGGACAGCCTACATAGTAAAACTACATCGTGAGGCACTGTTTTAAAACAGAGGTGAGAGTGACAGAAGGAAAGGATGGAAAGACCTTTCTATCATATAATAATATTCAGCACCTTTTGAATAGGATATCACACAGATATATATATGTATATATCTCAAATATATATAGATTATAGATAGATACTAAAAATTAAAGAGGTTACCCTTATCTTAATGTTGAAAATCAATATAGAAAATTGCAAGATTAAAAGAATTGTAAGGGGTCAGAGAGATGGTTCAGTAGAGTAACTGCTTGCCTGGCAAGCACAAGGGCCTGAGTTCAATGCCCGTTTCTGCCAAAAAAGAAAAAGAAAAAAATTGTAGTGAAGTGGGATATATAAAGAAAAGATTAAACATGGGGAAAGTAGACAAAAGGACAAATTACTGTAGCAAACATAAAGTGCTCTAACCTGCAGAACACAGTAGTTTCCATTTTTCTTTTTGGAAAGTATTTTCAAAGCTTCTTCTTCATATCCTGGGGCAATGATACCATCAGACACCTATAAGTGTATCAAAGTTAATTTTTACTTTAAAAAAAAATCATAAATGCCTCTGAAGGATCAAGTCCTATTCTGTCCTAAATAATGCTGACACAGTTTCTGGTTCTATCCTCAACAGATACTGCTGACGGTGAACTTTAAAAAAATTGTTCGTCAGAACGGACTTACTCTTTAGAGCTGTTTTGCATGCTGTCCTTTTCCACTGTTTTATTTAATTAACAATAGATGAGTGATTTACTTTAATTCATGTACCTTAGGAAGAAACAACCAGTTCTTACTCCTCCTTCAGGAAGTGTTTTTCATAGAAAGAGCAAGTTCTGGTCCTGGCTTGGCCAGGATCTGATAAATGGCCTAGGTGAGACTGCGCTCCAGCAGCAAGAGAAGATGATCAGAGCACCTAACGGTAGTCAGTCTTGCTCCAACGCGGAACAATGTGAGCTCTGCTGTGGTTGTAGTAATGCAGTTCATGGGCACAAATGCGCTCTGTCGCTGTCTATTTTCCCCCTCTATGCCCAAGAGTTACCTTCTCTGTCTCATTACCAATGAGTGCCCTGAACTTTCTGTAACATCTGTTTGGTATTCAACTAATATAGATTATCTTACAGTTAATACAGTTGATTTTTTTTTCCAAATATACATTCCCTTTTAGATCTATAAAGGTTTATAGTTAAGATTCATTTCATTACAACCCAAGATGGTCCTTCTCTCTAGCATTAAAATATATACACTAGGAAACTTAAAATAATTAAATATACAAAGAAAAGTTTCAAAAAAAGTCAGTTACTTTAAACATTACTTCACTAAATCTTAAAATATAAGGATTTGTGCTTTCTATAAAATATGAACACCCTACATGATCAATGGAATTTACAGCTGATACCAATACAACCAACAAGTTAGTTTCAAAGAATACTATAAACAAAACATTTCACTCAGTTGCACATGGATCACATATGAATGTCTACTAACTTCTCTGGAGATAATTTTTGCAGTTGGGACGTCACAAACATCAGATAATGCAATAAAATCACCAAATGAAGACATTCTATCAGCCCCTGTAAATACAAATTAAAAAAGGTATTTACTATACAATATATTTGCATAAAAGATTTTTAAAAACTCTCATATGATCAAATAAAATCTATTTCTCTAAAGGTAATCATTGTTTACATAAGATTTAAGTACAGATCAATGCTCTTTAACTTAAGTAATCATTAAGAAGTATTCATTAATTTTACTTTCTAGAGTGGTATTTAGTAAACTTTTCCTAAGGGCCAGGCAGTACATGTTTTTGAAGTTTTGTGGACCTACAGTCTCTACTGCAGCTATTCAAATCTGGAATTGTAGTTCAAAATCAGCTACAGAAAAAAATACATGAACAAAGGCCTAAGGTCTTAAATAAAAGCAAACATACATACTTATGTATTTAGTGCAGGGTCTACAGGGTGTTGAGGGTCTCACTACATAGATCGAACTCAGTGATCCTCCTGTTTTCAGCCTCCCAAGTACTGGGGTTACAGGCATGCACCATCGCACCCAGTCTCAATCATCGTCTCAGCATGCTCCAGGGCTGGGGCTGGCACAGCACACTGGGATTGAACCCCGGGTGCTGTGCTCTGCCTAAGCAAGTGCTTTAGTCCATTGAGCTATCTAGCCAGCCCTCAAACTGTATTTAGAAAACTAAGAATCTGACAAGATTCAGCCCAATGCCCTTACTATTCTGATCCCTATTAGAGATAATAAATTCTAAGTTTCTCAATAATCTTCCACAAACATAATATCCATGTTATCAAATCTAAGAATAAAATGTTTCTGAAACATATAAAACATAAGTATGGGGGCTGGTGAGATGGCTCAGTGGTCTAAGGCACCTACTTAGAACAAACTAAGCTAAACAAAGCACAGGGACCATGGTTCAATCCCCCAGCACCACATGCCAGCCAGCCCCACCCCCTGGTGGGCTGAGCTGGCCACACACACAAAATAAATAAATAAATAAATAAATAAATATTTAAAAAAAAAAACAAAAAAAAAACATAAGTATGTTAGTACAGCTAGAATAATCATATTTTTGTCACATAAATAAAAATACATTTAACAGCCTCATCTGGAATTACATGCATCAACTTTAGTGCTTCCATATATTATTACTAATACATACTTTTATAAATAACTATTTTGGTTTTTTTAGTTGTTTCTTTCTAATGAATTGGCCATTACATTTCTAACGTTCTGAAATGGCCAACAGATCATAGAAAGACACCACTTTAGGCTCCTGCTTGAAACCAACAGCTTCAGAAAACTGCCAGCCTTGATTCAGGGCCAATATAAGTAACTATTATGAGGCAGTCATAAACTCATTCTCAAGTATTAAGGAAACAAAGTAAAGATGATTTGAAATCTAATGAAACAAAGGCTGGTGCTATTTTAATCCATCTGCGATAAACCCCTGCCTTTTCTTATCACTCTGACCTCTGGCTCTGGCGTATGCAGTCGAGACAGGTGTAAGGGTGCTATAGAGGTCATAGACCATGCAGACTCTGGCCTCCTCTTCACTGAGTGGAACTCCTACGGCAGCACCTGGTAGAGAAAACCATTAACTAATAAATCTCAAACCTCAACTCTCTACTTGTCAACTCCTATATCAAGACTTTTTAAAACATTTCTAGTCTGTGTGGTGTACTTCCTAGCACCTGTGTCAAATTAAATAAAAAAACTTAGCAAGGTAATTAACAAAAACCCAATTGCTGGGGGCAGGGACCCCTCCCTGGCCTCTACAAACACAAAACTGCTGAAGCCTGACGGCACCCAGCCTGTGCAGGAAACCAGGTCAGTTCATTACTGACTTTCCCCATTCTGCTTGGTGTCTCGTATTTATTTTTTCCCAGCTCAAACTGCTTTAACATCCAATAAATAAAGAGAACCATTATGAGCTGGGCTGCCAGCAGACCTATGGCATAAATTGTGGAACTAAGGACTCAAATGCAAAAGCGAAAGGGCATTTCATAAATGACTATATTAGGTTATAAGCTATCGTACAACAATTTGTTTGTTTACTAAGTTAGATTTTCCAAACGTCAAAAATACTTTGGTATATAACATTAAGCCATTTCACTTTTCTTTCTTTTTAAAAAATTTTTCACATTTATTTTTAAATTTTCATATTTACATTATAAAAAAGTCATGGGCTGTGCTGGGGAGATGCCTCAGTAGAATAAGCACTTGCCTGGCAAGCATAAGGGCCCCTGAGTTCAATCCCCAGTTCCGGGGAAAAAAAAAAGAAGTTATGGGCTGATTTTGCTAGCTCATACTAGTGTCACGTAATTATGTGTGTTATCAGATTTTTTTTTGTAGTACTATCCTACTGATACTATTGCCAACAGACTCACCAAAGTGCCTTGAATTTATAAAGAAACCCAGGTGAGCAGTTCCAGGGTGCGTACCTGCTGGGCTGACATGTTTGAACGAGGTTGCGGCTGGGAGGTCTAAAGCTTCTCTGAGTTCCTGCACCAGCTGCCAGGCATTCAAAGCGTCGCACAGGTTTATGAACCCAGGGGCGCCATTAAGTACTGCACACAAAAACACATACACCCTTCACTGCATCAAGAAGATCAGAAGTATGCTTATTTCTTACAAAATAAAAAACATATCAAGTCAACACAAATGTCTTAAGTACAATTAAGAGGCAGACAAATAGACACAAACATGGAAGAACTCAATGATAAAAGAAAACGAAGCGGCTGAGCCCGAGTGCTTCCTTACAACAACTGTACACATGCACGCACATACACTTGTACACACACTACTAGAGGCCCACATACACTACTCTAGAAATAAGTCTACAAGAGGGGTTCAAAAATAAGAGGAATTACGACTAGTTTAGATGTCAGGAATCCATGCAAATTCAGTGTAAAATTAAAGTGAAGCAACTGCAGAGATAGTATAAACATTAAGATATGTCATATCAGCTTACACTTACAATCTAAAGCAATTGCTGTGGGTGGGAGAGGAGAGGAGGAAAAAAATGTGTGTGTTCTTTACTCGCAGAACAAAAGACCCTGCCTGAAGCCGGACTGCAGTGACAAGAAGAGCATCACTTCAGGGTTTCTGCTATCTACTTCTGTACCACTGGCAGCATACGTAGGAACTGACACCTCTTGTGAATAAACAGGAACAGTTTAATTTCCTTCATATGTTATCTTGGATAGTAGAGACTTTTTAAAAGTAAAACCTTGCCAATGTTTACCAAAAAGCCTACCACAACATTAGGCTCTGGGCTGGGAAGATGGCTCAATAGATTAAGTGCTTGCGTGGCAAGTGCTGGGTCCTGAGTTCAATCCCTGGTACCTCAAAAAAAAAAACCCCAAAAAACAAAAAACATTAGGCTCTGAGTACTTGGCAGTATCAGTGAATAAAATAGTCCCTTTTACTCTCCTTGGGGATAAAGCTGTCCTTATGGAAATTACAGGGAAGGCAAATAAGAAAACAGCAAGAAACAAGAAATACAGCGGGGGCACAGTGCCTGCCTGGCAAGCACGAGGTCCTGAGTTTGATTCCTGGTACCAAAAAGAAAAGAAAATGACAAAAACAGTCATAGGTATTTATCCAAATGAAATGAAAACTTATATCCATACAAAAACTTATACATGAACAATTAGAGCAGTTTTGATCTTAAGTGTCTTTCAAATTTTGATTTCTTGGTCTGGAGAGATAGCTCAGTAGAATAAGCACTTCCCTGGCAAGCGCAAGGGCCTGATTTCAGTCCCCGGTTCCGCAAAAAAAAAAAAAAAATTATTTCTTTCCATATGTTAATAAACTGTGGCACATTCACAAACAATGAAATAGTACTTGGTAACAAGAAATGAGCGGGACACACTGCTAGAGTATGTGCTAAGGCCTTGGGTTCAATCCCAACCCCACCCTCCAACAAAAGGAAATGAGCAGTAACATAGAAACCTGGGTGCTTCTCCCCAAGCAGGTGACAGGGAAGAAGGAAGCCAACAGGAAGCTGCTTCTTCCCACCAGACCTGTGAGCCCAAGACTCACTGTGTGTGTGTGTGACTAGAGTGGCCCTGGCTGTGGCCCAAGGCCACCTCCTGTAGTGCTGGGCCTCTGAGGCCTCCACAGCTGCAGCTTTCTCCTCTGCCCTTGCCTACCATCCCTCCTACCATGGAGGATGTGCCCTAACAGCCCATCTCAAGAAAATGGGCAGACATTGAAAAAGGCTCTTTTAATTCCACAAACTCATGGAATCCTAATTTCTCTGTTCAAGGTGGTATGGCCAGACTCAGCCAACTTCAATGGGCTTCTAGAATCACAAGTTCAAGGAACGTTTGTTTTTTATTTTTTGAGAGTACTGGGGATTAAGCCTATGCATCACTGAGCTATATCCTCAGTTCTTTTTAAAAAATCTTACTGGAAAACTGCTGCTTTTATCACTCCCAAAGTAGGCCCTTTTCCATTCTCAGTGGCCTTCCAACCTGCTGAAATGCTCCAGCTTGTCCTGGGGCTCTTCCACTGCTCTGCCGACTACATGGAGAACTACCTTAAAGTTTGCACTGATCTTCTGTGTGATTTTTTTTTTTTTTTTAATTTTATGTATTTGGTATAGGGTCTCACTATGCAGATTGGACTTGTAGAGGTCCTCCTGTTTTCAGCCTTCTCAGCGCTGGGATTATAGGCAGGCACCACCACACCCAGACTCGACCTTCTGCTATGAAACCCAGACCATCTCATCCTAGCCCGTGTCTTCAGAAAATCTATACAGCAAAGCTACTATTCCAAGCTGTGCCTCCAACCTGATCTCTCTTCACAACCCCAGATGCCCTCAGTATCTGTGCTCACAATTCCAACCTGCATCTCAATTATGGATGGTTACAAGAGCCATATGTAACCTACTTTACCTTCTGAATGTAACTAGATCCAAGACAGGTAAAGGCATACATGCATCTGTCCAAACACAGCCCACTCTGCCACAAACACTCATGACCTTACCTGTGATGGGAAGCCGTGGCTTCAGCGTGTACAGCTGGGCAGGAGTCTGATGAGGGTTCATGCCATATCTCAAGGGCATCTGAGAGATTCCTTTACTGTACTGTTTTCTGAAGAAATCTGAAATGGCTTCATCATACTGTGCTGTGTGAGTGAAAGCCTACAAAAAGGTTCAGTTTTATAAGGGACAAGATGGTTTTAGGTATGCAAACTACATGCCCTGCCCCTGTGTGTGCTCACACAAAAAAGCCACCCCATAACACTGAATAGCACAAAAATTCTTCTCTTTGCAGTTCTCTTTCAGTCTTTTTTTTAAATGTATTTAGTACAGGGTATCACTATACAGACCAGACTCTAGTGAGTCTCCTGTTTTCTGCCTCCCAAGTGCTGGGATTACAGGCACTGTCTCAGCATGTCTCAACAGCCATCTCAGCATGCTCCTTGGGTAGGGTTGGCACAGTAGGCTGGGGATTGAACCCTTGGCCCCTGCATCTGCCTAAGCAGGTGCTTTAATCCGCTGAGCTATCTGACCAGCCCTTCTTTCAATCTTTTCTTACAAAATATTCCTATACTATTTGGTCTCTCCATTTCCAACTAAAGAGCAGCTCCAGTCAGAGCTTTAGGAGGTGAGAGAATCCAGCTAGAACTCAACACTGCTGGGCTTCGCCAACATTGCACTGGACAGAAGGACTACACAGAAGCCTGTCACACCTTTAAGGCCAACTGGCGTCTGGTCTCCAAGGAGGTGTCCCGGCTGTCAGAGCTCTGCATCTCTGTGGACACTGTCACATAGTCTTCTGGTTCACACACCACCGTCACCCGAGCATGGTTTTTGGCTGCAGCTCTCAGTAAGGTTACTCCACCTTGAAGGACAAAAGATGTTTCACTATCAATTTTTTTTTCATTATCAATTGATGAATCTCTTTCAAATACAATCACGGTGCACACAAATTCTTCCACTTTAATTCCTGCTGTATAAAGGGAGATACATAAGGAAAAACCACCCAGGTGCTTCTTCACTAAAAAACAAATAACTTGGGCTGGGACTACATTTGGCTCAGGGCCAGACTGCTTACCTACCATAACAGGTTCTGGGTTCAATCCTGGGGAAGGGGCTTATAAAAGACAGAGGAATTGTAATTATCCTGGAATATGATCTAGGAGAAATAACTACTTTTGTTTCCTCAGAAATGAAAATCAAAAACAAGTCTCATTACAATTTTAAATGATCTCCTTCCTCTGTTAGTTTCAAACGTACCAATGTCAATTTGCTCCACAGCTTTCTCAACAGTCACATCTGGAGAGGCCACTGTCTTCACAAAGGGATACAGATTACATGCAACAACTCTAAAACCAAGAGGATTCAGCCATCATTAAAAATTCAACTTACATGGTTTAGTTATCTAGGAAAAAATGAGTCAGTACTATAGATGTGAGCAAAACCTAAAATATAAAAACCATGAAAGAAATCAAGATACAGAAGCCTAAACACTGCACGGTTTCTCTCATATGAGAAATACACACAGATGACAGATACTAGGAAACAGGGAGGTCAAAGGGATGTAAAAAGATGTTATGTCCACGTACCAACTTCCTACAGTGCACCATTCAGGACTGCAAACAGGTACTAATTCAAATAAAAAGTAAAAGTAAATAAAACCAAACCTAAACTGTGCGAATGACAACTTATTTTAGTATTCTAAAAGCTATGTGAAGAAGTCTGGCCATCTGCAGCTACAGAGCAGAGGTAGTTTAGCCAGCGGGTAATCTGGGTCTGGATACACATTAGTCGCTCTAAACCACACTGTCACATGGCTACTCCAGGAATTTTAGCTGCCCACCATTATCACACCATCAAAATATAAAACATTTTTAATAGAAAGGAAAAAAGATGACAAATAATACTTTCACTTCAGGTTTTGACACTGCTACCCAGGACATTTTAAATTAGATTATTTTTCTACCAATTGTGTACAGTGATGAGTGTTTGTAAATAGAATATCACGTCTGCATCTTGTACAGCAAATAACCACTAGGAAGAGAGTATGCAAAGTGTTAATTATTGAAAGTGTCATACTAATTTGATTTGAAACTGTCTCATTGCTATATGTCTCTCAATAAAATTATGGAAAAAAATCAATGAAGCATTCTAATAGTAAAATATTTATTTTGTCTTCAGAGAGGTCATGAGAAGTTATAAAAGGAATAGTAGTAACAGAGAGGCCAAGAGAATAATTTTAAATACAGAACAGTCTTTTGGCTCTCTGAGCAGCACCATGGTGGTAGGCAAGAACAAGCACCTTACGAAAGGCAGCAAACAAGGAGCCAAGAAGAAAGTGGTTGATCCATTTTCTAAAAAAGACTAGTATGATGTGAAGGCGCCGGCTATGTTCAATATAAGAAATATTGGAAAAATTTGTCACCAGAACCCAAGGAACCAAAATTGCATCTGATGGGCTCAAAGGTCATGTGTTTGAAGTGAGCCTTGCTGATCTGCAGAATGATGAAGTTGCCTTTAGAAAATTCAAGCTAATTACTGAAGATGTTCAGGGCAAAAACTGCCTGACTAACTTCCATGGCATGGACCTCACTGGGACAAAATGTGTTCCATGTTCAGAAAATGGCAGACCATGATCGAAGCTCATGTTGATGTCAAGACTACCGATGGTTATCTGCTTCGACCATTCTGTGTTGGCTTACTAAAAAACAAAACAATCAGATCCAGGAGACCTCTTACGCTCAGCACCAACAGGTCTGCCAGATCCGGAAGAAAATGATGGAAATCATGACCCGGGAGGTGCAGACAGATGACTTGAAGGAAGAGGTCAATAAACTGATTCCAGACAGTATTGGGAAAGACATAGAAAAGGCTTGCCAATCTATCTACCCTCTTCATGATGTCTTCATTAGAAAAGTAAAAATGCTGAAGAAGCCCAAGTTTGAATGGGGAAAACTCATGGAGCTTCATGGTGAAGGCAGCAGCTCTGGAAAGGCTACTGGAGATGAGACTGGAGCTAAAGTTGAACGAGCTGATGGATATGAACCACCAGTGCAAGAGTCCGTTTAAGATCCAGATTTTTAATAGCGATAAATAAAGTCCTATTTGTGAAAAAAGAAAATTAAATACAGAACAGATCTACAATTAACTAGTGAACAGAGCTCTACTTCTAGGGCTACAAATGAAGGTGCTCTGTGGGCAGGCTCCCAGCCTCCAAGCCTAATTGCTGACCACTAACAAGAAAAGAGAAAAAGAAGAGCAGACTGCTTGAGAGCAAGATAAACATGTCACAAAAAACCCTACAGAATATTGTTTCTCATCCACACTGACATAAAAAAGCACTAGCAAATAGGAACCAGAATATGAAAATAATTACATATCATTGCCAAATAGGGTTTAATCCTTGAATGTACAACTGGTTTAATACCTAACATCAGCCTGCAATCCCAGCAGCTGGGAGGCCAAGGAAGGTCCTGCTGTGAGCTCAAGGCCAGCCCGAACTATATAGTGAAATCCTGTCTTGAAAAACCAAAATAAGTAACATAAAATATCATCAGAATAAAGGATAAAGAACCACTTGATCACTGCAATAGATGAACAGAAAGTCTCAACAAAATTCAATATTCATTCATGATAAAGAAAAACATTCAACAAATAAGACTAGCAAGGAACTGCTTCAATATAATGAAATGGGAAAAAGTAAAAAGGTAACTACAGTTAACACCATGCTAAATACTTTCCCCAAGATCAGGAACAAGAATATCCACGCTTATCACCCACACCCAGCACTGCTGGAAGTTTCAGCCAGGGAAATCCACAGACTATGCAATGGGATGTAGAAGACAAAAGCAAATCTCTACACACACGTGACATGAAGTTATACTCAGAGAATCCTAAGAGCTCACAAGAAAACCTATTAGCACTAACAAATGAGTTAAGAAGTTAAGGGCTATAAGATCGATACACAAAATTCAACTGTACTAGTACACATTAGCAAGGAACAATCAGAAAATAAAAATAATTCCATTTATAACAGCACCAAAAAGAATAAAATATTTATTCATAAGTTCCATAAAAATGTAAGGCTTTTAGTACTACAAAGTAAAACCATACTGAAAGAAACTAAAGAAAACTGAATACATGGAAAGATTTCCCACACTTATGAGTTAGATGCCTTAATATTATTAAAATACCAATATTCTTCAGATTGATCTACAGATTCAAATAGTCTCTAGGAAAATTCCAACCGCCTCTTCTGCAAAACGAGCAAACTGATCCTAAAAATCACATAGAAAGGCAAGTGCCCTGAATGGCAAAATAATCTTTAGTAAGAAAAACAAAATTGGGATAACTCAAGTTTTCAATTTCAACATTTCTACCGAGCTACAGTAGTGACATAGAGTCAGTATAATCAGCCACACAGACCAAGGATGCTAAAACCACTAAAGGAAAAAACACTTCTCAACAAATGATGCTGCGACACCTAGATACCATATATAGAAAAACAAAGTAGATCCCTACCTCACATCTACATACAAAAATTAACTTGACAGTAACTAAAGACCTAAATTTAAGAGCCCCAACTGAAAAACCCTTAAAAGGAGATAAAAATCTTCATCACCCATGATTAGCTAACAATTTCTTAGCATGACAGCAAAACTACAAGCAACAAAAGAAACTGGACACCATAAATTAAAAAATTTTCATGATGGTCAAAAGACACCACCAAAAGGCTAAAATACAACACAGAATAAAAAAAATTCTGAAACCATGCTATGAAAAAAAAAAAAAAAAAAGTCAGTAACAATATTAAGACCTAGTCTAGGAGGCAGAAGCAGGAGGATCACAAGTTTAAGTCCAACCTGGGCAACACCTTTCTCAAAATTAAAAAAAAAGGAGGCTAGGTCTGTAGCTCAATGCAAAAGGCCTTAGATACTGGGTTCAATCTCCATACAAGAGGGTATCACCGTACATAAAAGTAACAATCAGTATCTTTAGGTTAATAAAGTCAGTTTTACATAACAAAATTTAGGGATAACAAAATTTAGGGAGGAACACCAGATTTAGCATGTTCTTTGGTTTTATTCCTTAATGTGCCAGAAGTCTAACTTCCTGAATAAACACGGATTAGCAGCTGGGCTCTATTTGGTGATAGTACTTCCCTAGCATACATAAGCTCAACGGGTTCAATGCCTAGCACTGCAAAAGAGAAAGAGAAAAAAATAAGACAACAAAATAAGGATATGGAAGTTATATTTTGGAAATGTCAATTTGCCAAAACCAGAATGTTAAGAGTTAGCCAGACAGCTCAGCAGACCAAAGTGTCTGCTGAGGCAGATGCAGGGACCAGGGCTCGATCATCCCAGGCAGGGCTGGTAGGGTGTGCCCCTGGGGCACTGAGACCAAAGACTGAGACTGGGTGTGGTGGTGCACATGCAATCCCACCCGTAATCCCATTGCTTGGGAGGCTGCAAACAGGATAATCACTAGTCTGATTTGTGTAGTGAGACCCTGTATTAAATTAAAAAACAAAAACAAACCCAGAATGCTTATATATGCTGAATGCAACACAAAGGGATTCGAAAAAGTTCACAGTGAGTAAATGCAAACTAGGGTAAGGGAGGAACACCAGACTCAGCATGTTCTTTGCTTTTATTCCTTAATGTGCCGAAAGTCTAACTTCAAATTTTTACCTTATGAGATTGAAATCAAGTCTGGCCATGTCAGCATTATCTTCTGGGATATTACGAGCCAGGATTCCTAATATAAGAAAGTGAAATCAATTATTAATTCAACTACCTTCTAATAGTCCACCAATCCAGTAAAGCCTTCTAACATTTATAACTAAAGAATACAAAACATTGAGTTGAAAAGTTTTCAAAAAATTAGGATCAAGGGATATATTTAAAAATGATTTGCATCACTACATAATCCCCTTTTCTTTTTGTTTAATCTTTTCTTGAGCAACAAAAAATACAATTTTTTTTTTATTTTTTATTTTTTACAAATCAATTGGAACTTTTACAAATCTACTGAGTATTCACCGCAGTCTGCATTCCTATAAATAAATGGTTTGTCTGGTGATCCTTCACCAGTCTTTATTTGCTAAATTTTAGTGTAACTGGCAAATTAGTAATAACATATCCCAACAGTTTAAACAGAATTTGTTGTTAGATCTATGTACACATGTAAAAGAGTACCTGAAAAACCTCTATGAATTAAAAAAACCCTATAAATTCAGTTATATTGTGATACTTTATTCTGTGAACTGTTATAAAAGTCTAAACAGAAACATCACAATCTGAATTAGTTTAGTTACTAGCTCAAGTCTAATAGCAGAAGAAAACAATGCGGATCCATCATGTGATAAAGCAAGCCAGATTTTAAACAGGTACTAACATATTATAAACACTGACAGCAAAGGTGACAAAACCAATATAAATTTAGAACTAAACTTTTTGAGCTCATGACTTCTTCCTCCTTTTTTAGGGAGTTAACTAAAATATTCCTATGAACCACTGACTGTTTTAAACTGAAGGTACCAAAGGGCCGGCCAAATAGCTCAGCAGATTAAAGCGCCTGTAAGCAGGCGCAGGGGCTGGGGGTTTGATGCACATGGGCCTGCCGGGCCAGCCCCCTCCCTGGGGCCCCTGAAGGCAATTGAGACTGGGTGTGGTGGCACAGGCCTGTAACCCCAGCTCTTGGGAGGCTGTAGACAGGAGGATCACTACCTAGTAGTGAGACCTTGAACACCCTGTAGACCCTTCCCTAAAATACAAAAAAAACCCCCTGAAGATAGCAACCAACAACTTACCAGCATGGACTGCAGGATGCAAGGTTTTCACACGACCCCCTAACATCTCAGGAAATCCTGTTAGCTCAGAGACATCTCTGAAAATGAACACAATATTAGCACTGCTTCGGAGTGGTCCCTTTACATTTCTCAAAGCATCTTCCTTCAATCTACTGTTCTCATTCAAAAGTTTTTTTTTTTTTTTTTTAAAGAAACTGAAAACAAATCATTCTACCTTATGCTTTCTCACTACATTTGACTTGTTATATAGGTAAAACTTTAATTACTTTTTAAAAATTTCTTCCTTTCCTCCTTCCCTTCTTAAAAGTCCACTATACAATCCAGGTTGCCATAATCTTTTGATCCTCCTGTCTCAGTCTCCTGAGTGCTGGGATTACTGGCAAGGGCAACCAATGTATGGCTCATGCTTATCTTATCGTATTGTCAAACTGATGTTTGACAGGGGGAATAAGTATTAAAGCACTGCTTTTATAACTGTCAAGGAATTCAGAAACTGAATCATAAACCATACTAAATAAAGTCAAATGAGAAGTAACACGGTGGTAAGCAAGTATCAGCAAGAAGTATCTGTATTGCAGAAACTTGAAACAGTAGAACTAAAAATTTAATTTTATGATTAAAAAGTGTAAAATGGCAAAACAAATAAGAAGACTGCTTAGTAAAGTGGTATACAGGTATTCAGATGCCTGGTTAATTCCATGCAAAAATAAATTCCTGATTAATCAAAGGTTAAGCATTTCAGAAAACTATGTTAAGTACCAAAATCAGGTGTGTGAGGAACACTAAACAAAAGACTCATAGCATTAAGCTGAAGTTAGGGAGTGGGCATCACAAAATTGAGCTAAGGACCAAATGAAGAACAATGGTTAAATACTAATCCTCATCATTAGACTGACCTCTAGAAAGTTGTACCAGAACATCCTAGGACAGAATTTGTTGTGGAAAAATATTCATAGTATTTAAGAAAAAAAAAAAAAAAAGGCTGGACACAAAATTCTGTCTTCTATGTGAGCTCTGAAGTAATGTGGATGCTTATCTAAACACTGAAAACACATTAATATGCTATTTTTCAACATTTTCCAAATTTTTTAAAAAATTACATAATAGCCTTTATTGGAAGAAATTAAACATTTTAGAATAGCAAATTTAGCTACAAGGACACAGAACTTCCTGGGTTAACTGGCCTACTGAGTAGGGTCACTTGCAGTAGGGTACTTAGCATTTACTAAGGTCATATATAGACCTAATGCTCATCTGTCAAACTGGTGACACATGGTTTCCAATCCAAGATGCCCTTCTGATGAATTTAGGAATTAAAATCTAGTTCCTCCAATTAAAGAGACTTGCTCACAACTTGAGATGGCAGGTTTACTCTTAATTAAATGGTAAGGGTCATTTAAAACTTGTTACTCCTTTGCACTAAAAAAAAAATTTGAATGTAGGGTTGGCCAGATAGCTCAGTGGACTAAAGCCCCTGCTTAGGCAGAGCACAGAAGCCAGGATTCCATCTGGGGCCACTGCAAGGGCGATTGAGACTGGGCATGGTGGCGTGCGCCTGTAATTCCAGCACTTGGGAGGCTGAAAACAGGAAGATCACTATGAGTCTGATCTACACAGTGAGACCCTGAACATGCTGTCGACCCTGAACCAAATACAAAAAATTGAATGTAATAACTATAATCTTCAGGATTAATTCTCTATAGGATCACTGGCATATACTTACTGATTAAATCTCATGAGTTGACTACACAACAAAGCAATGGCTAACTTCACAAGGTATGTGACATTAGGCATGTGACTTCATTTTTGTTTCATTCCTATAGTGCTGGGGATGAAACCCACGGCCTTGTATAGGACAGGCAAGTACTCAAACACTGAGCTACAGCAGGCATCTAATTTTTTTGTGCTTTAGTTTCCTTATCTACCCAATGGGGACAATACTACCTATAAAGCAACTTTATTGTGAGGACTCATGATTAATATATGTCAAACTCTCTTCCCACTCAGTGACCTGTACTGTACTGAGCCATAAACAAAGCACTCATGGTAAACACTTTCACCATTTAAGGGGGAGAAACACTTAACATTTCCCCATTTTTAAAAAATGTAACATGGGGCTGGAGAGATGGCTCAGTGGTCTAAAGCACCTACTTAGAACAAGCTTGGCAAAGCACAGGGACCGCGGTTCAAGCCCCCAGCACCACATGCCAGCCAGCCCGCTCCCTGGTGGGCTGAACTGACCCCCCCCCACACACAATAAATGTAAAAAAAAAAAATAAAAATAAAAAAAATAAAAATAAAATAAAAAATGTAACACAATCATGGGGATAAGCAAGGAGTTGGAAGAGGCTGGGTGTTTAAACAGGTAACACACAATAGAAGTGCTCATTTACACATTTCTGGTTTGTTTCCTAACAGTTTGATGGGAAAAAGAAAACAGAGGGGGCCAGGGAGATAGCTCAGTGAAGTGCTTGCCTCGCACGCATAAGGTCCTGAGTTCAACCACTGGTATGGGGGTGGGGTGGGGTGGGGTGCGGGAGGGAATCTTTTTGGCTGGGGAGATGGCTCAGTGGAATAAGTGCTTCCCTGCCAAGCGCAAGGGCCTAAGTTCAATCCTCAGTTCCGCCAAAAACAAAAACACAAACAAAAACAAAAAATCAGGCCACAAGTGAGGTGTTTGAGTAAAGTTCCAACCTTGGCCTAATGGGAATGAACCTTGGTCTAGACTGGATTTTTATCCCGCTCTCCTCAGAAGAGCTGGACTAGCTCCCGTGATTCTCACAAGGCTTCCAGTAGAACCACATCTCAGAGAAGATGCAAAAAGGAACTTGAAAAATAAAAACTGCTATACTAAGGCTTTCTCGCCATCTGAACTTGAGAAATCCAGGGAAGCTAGGTACTGCTCATAAAAAGCAGAAATACACGAAGTAAAGCTGGATCATCACCTTTACAGCGATCTGGGGGGCAAGAAGTAAATCTTCCACATAGCAACAGGCAGAGAGCTTTCATCCGTCTTCGAAAAATATATCTTAGGAGTGATATATTCCTCTGAACTCTCAGAGCACTTTATTATAGCTGCGCTATGGCCTCTTTCATTTTCTTTCAGTACACTTACTCCCTCTCCATCCAGAAAGCCAGCTCCTTGAGGTTAGGAGTGGCCTCCTGATTTATCTTGGGTATATCCCTTCCCATGGTCAGGAAATGAACAGCTTCAGGTAATTAAGCAAGAATGAGAGAATCAACGACTGGTACTTTCCTGTGGTTACAGGGAGAAGCTAAGGGGCAGATGTGAATATTCATGAAGTAAACAGCCAGTCAGAGCAGACGTGAATTCTAACTTGCGTGTTTCTCGTGCAGAACAGACGGTCTACGTGACTTAATGTGTAAAGGAAGAGGCTAAGAGCCAGGGTTCTAACGTGGGGTCCACCCATAGTCAACTCTGTGAACTTCACTGAAGCTGCTAATGAGCCTCATTTTCCTCTTCCTCAAAAGTGGGTAAGGGGTGTGGCACTCTCCCAGCGCGCTGGGCGGGGAGAGGTTCAGGCACCCTACTCAGGGCACCTGGTTACCTCACGTACTGCACTGAACGTGGCCACGTTCGGCCTGGACTTACCTAGAACCTCAGCTCTACCTTACCTGACGGCCAGGCCGGCATCCCTGAGTGCTTTAGCTGTTCCTCCGGAAGCGACCAGGTTCAAACCCAGAGACGTTAAGTTTCTGGCAAATTCCACAAGGCCAGTTTTGTCAGAGACACTAAAGAGGGCTGAAAGAGAAGACAGCGTTCCGGTTACCCGCAGTGCGCGACCCCCGGAGGGCGGGGGAGGGGACTCCCGAACCGCAAGGCCAGCAGCGGGCGCACAGGCCCGGGGCCCCGAGGAGGCCTCCCGGGGCTGCGTCCGCGAGCCGCACAACAGGCCGGCCGCGCACCCCGGGGCCGCCATTGCGGGCGGGGGCTCCGCGCGGGCCTCACCGAGCTGGCCGGGAGCCATGGCTGCAGACGCAGGTCCGGGGGAGCGCGGAGACCCGGACGGCGACACGTGCAGAGCTGGGCCGCGGGAGCACCGCCGGGAGGGCAGGAAGCTGGTGGGCGGGGCGGCGGCCGTCACGTGACCCTGACCCCCGCCCCGAGTCAGGGGCGAAATTGGCGCCCGCCGCGGGAAGCCGAGGAGGGCGGGGAGCGGGCGGGTGCAGCTTGGCGCCCTGGGGCCCGAATTTGTCCTGCCGCAGATTCCCTCCACACCCCGGGTCCCGCAAGCCCGTGATCGATCCCAGCGTGTCCTGTTTCCCTGAAACCCTGTCGATGCCGAGGCTGAAAGTTGGAGGAAAATGTCAAAACATAAAGAGCTAAGAAACAAACACAAGGAACTTTCCAGATCTTAGAGTGCCAAAGCTAGAGCGGATCTTGGCAATCATCTACCATGCATCCGCTTTAATAGGTTTGAAAAATAAGTATTAAATCTTGCAGATTAAGTGACTGACCCTGCAGTATATAGACGAGAGCCAAATGAAATGAAATGGACATCCATTTGAGGCTCTGAGCGCGCGTCATAACATTGTCTGGAGACTGCACAAAGCTGCTGCTTTCCTGTAAATCTGTAGTGTTTTGCTTCCAGCCTGTGTGAGTGGTAATGGCTAAAGGAAAGGAAAAGACCTGTATTGAAAACAGCTAAAGCAAATTTCAACACATTTTTAAATGACAATTTTGCCTCAAATAAATGCGAATTGCTGTCAACACACATCCATTGTAATGTTCTTTACAGAACTATAGTATAAAATAGTAACATCGTCTTTTATTCGTAGGCTGGGGCTCCCAGCTGTGGCAGTTACCTGCACGCTGTGTATTTTTCTCTTTTTCCCTCTGAAATTTCTTGTCTCTTCTTTACTTCCCCAAGTAAAGGCCTATTGAGTAGATTCAAGAGTTCTGTATATCGACTTGTGAATGTTGTATTCCTTGCTCTGAATATTTCCTACATTTCTATAAGAAATATATTTAAGATTGTCATTGTCTTCAAAGTGATTGACAATTTTGTTTTTCTACTCTTTTTTCTATCTTTTCGTTTTGTTTTTTTGTTTTCAACTTTGCCAACTTAGAATTTAAAGAGACAAGGTTCATGGCCAGTGTTAAAATTCACTGGCTAGTGTCTATTGGATGTCCATAGGAAATAAAAAGCAAAGAAAGCAGAAAACCCTGAGAAGTATTTTTAAAAGGAAATAGACATTTCTTGGACACGAAGAATTTTTTCTTCATGTGAATCAAAAGCTTACTTGATTTAATAATTATTGAACACTTTGTGCATCAATGGCTGGAATACAATGTCAGGAAGACCAGATAACTGTTATCAATCACTGGCCTCAAAGAGTTCATGAAGTAATGAAAGCATAGACCCATAGGTGGAGGGGGAAGACACATAGGTCAGACTAGAAAAATAGTAGAAAAAGGACGGCCAGATAGCTCAGCGGATTAAAGTGCCTGCTTAGGCAGATGCAAGGGCTGGGGTTTGATTCTGGCCAGCTATGCCTGCTCTGCCCCAGCGCACACTGAGATGGCAATTGATACTGGGCGTGGTGGCACATGCTTGTAATACCAGTGTTTGGGAGACTGAAAAACAGGAAGGACTACTATAAGTCCAATGTGTGGTGAGAACCTGTAAACCCTGTAGACCCTGTACTAAATACATTAAAAAAAAAAAGAAAGAAAGAAAACAGTACAAAGAGAAAAGCAAGACATTGAACTGATTCTGTGAAGGAGTCTTAGTTGCAGAATAAAGCACATTTACTATGAGAAATTCTAACTTTCCTTATAATTTCATAGTCCACACTTGATTGTTAATATGTTAATAGCAAGAAGAATAAATGAGTTTTTTAAAATTAGCTTTGTGATCCTAGTGAGGGTGGAGACCGTTATTAGCTGTAACATGAACATAATATTTATTCTGTAATCATATTGTAAGAAGCAAATTCAGTAATCAGTGGAAAGAGTAAGGCAAAAATTGACTAATAAAGATAATGTAGAAATGTAATCTCCTTGGCTTATCCTCTTAGTTTATCTAGGTAATTGCATACCTTTCTGAGCTTTACAGTAAGTCCTTAAGGATGCCAGTCACATGCAAGTTGGCATTAGAAATCCAGAAAATTCTGACCAGGGAGATGGCTCAGCGGAATAAGCGCTTCCCTGGCAAGCGCA